GCTGCCTGTCAGCGTCATTGTTAAGCTTAGCTCTCAGTAATGTATTCCCTTTCCATGGTTAACTCGACCTCTGGGCGCCAACACCCGGCCCTCACCTGGGGACAAGCCTGCCCCAGACCCCCAGTCGATGACACATCCATGGCTAAATGCCAGCAATGCCAGCTCGCTCTTGGATAAATCAGAGGCCTGGAATCCGATTTTAATGTCCTCAGTAAACTGGCTTAATAACGCAATCGATGATCCTTGATACAATTTCACTGAGTTCGGTTTAAAACTTTCTGCGGTTTCTTTCTTTTTTAAAAAAATGTATTGATTGATTGAGAGAGAGAGAAAAACATTGATTTGTTGTTCCACTTATTTAAGCACTCACTGATTATTTCTCGTGTGTGCCCTGACCAGGAATTGAACCCACAACCCCGGCATACTGGGATAACGCTCTAACCCACGGAGTGCTAACCCAATGTGCCTTCCAAAACACCGCTACCCCACTGCCGACCTGCCTCGTCTCCCCACTGCCAGTGAACAGCAGCCCAGGGTTTGAGCATTTTCAGCACAGCGTTCGCAACTCTCCATGATCCGCATGTGGCTCCAAACCCACCTCTTTTTGCTCTGCCTCACGCCCTCCATTTTCAGTGACCCGGACCTGCCTGCAGTTGTGCGAACAAGCCAGGAGCTCTTGTGTGCCGACGCTTCGCCTCCACGCCGAGTCTCCGGCTGCCAATGGCCTTTCGTGTCGTTCCAAGTGGCCCGACCTCCACGTCATCGGTTCTGTCAGCCTCTTGGAGCTCTTCTCTCCTCCGTGGAGCTGATGTGAACGCCTATATTTTTGCATCGGTCCTATCCTAGTTTCCCGGTTACGTGGTTACAGAAACCAGATTTCCCTCAATTCTGCACACTGAAGAAACCAGCCTGGGCTCAGCGAGGACAAACTGAGCAGATGGACGGAATTTGAAAGCACCTGTGATGGTGGCTGTGACCGCACGCAGGACTACGACAGGTGGTCACTGAGGAGGCTTCCGCACGACACGCAGAAGGAGGAGAGAAAAAAACCAGAGTGGCGGGGGTGGGGGGGATTGCCTTCTCCAGCGGGAGAAGAGGTGTTTGATGTACTTAAGACATAATTGTAGCTACTTCAAGAATTTTCTATGGTTTACAAAAAAGATAAATGTAGTAAACGGGATACGTGTCAAAAACTACAGATCAAGGAAATAAGTGAGCTTTCATTTGGAACATGGTGGAAAGACCAACATGTTCAGTTCATAAAACAGTGGTAAGATTATTCTCAAACTTTATTGCCTTCTTTCCTTTTTTTTGAAATCATTACCCAATGATTAGAGACAAAGAAAGATCCACAATGAGATAGAGAAAAATCAATCAATCGCTTGCCTTACACGTCCTGACTGGGAATCGAACCTGCAGCCTTTTGGTGTGTGGGCCGACGCCCAAACAGCTGAGCCACCGTGCAGGAGAGGTTCTCTTTTTAAGTATTCTGAAAACTATATGCAAAATTTTGTGGACAGATGTGTTTTTTCTGGAGAGATAGTTCTTTTTCTGGCAGGTGGCCAAAGGGATTTGTGACAAAGATGTTAAATCACTAACCACTAAATTCCATACTATACAACATAAACCAATATTCCTTGGATGGGGGAAAATAATTGTCAGGGAGATGAGGACATGTTTCGGAACTTAACCACGTTCTCTTGCTGCGCCACAAAAATGTCCTCCAAATCCTCCCCCATAAGGGAAATTATTAAACATGGTACAGGAAGGTAATAATTCAGTCTGACAAGAGAAGAACCCTTGAGAGCAAAGACAGAGCCCAGCCGCACCTTCAGTGAGCTTCAGAACAAGAAACACAAGCAACGCAAAACACGCAGAACATGAACACACACACACACTCTTCCTGAGCGTCCAGGAAACAAAATGTGTTACTCTTTACTGGTCCTTTTCCTCAGATGGAACTTCCCTATCTCACCAGTAGGTGGCAGAGAGGGTGCAGTTAAAAATTTTTTCCCTCCTGTCTTTAGAAGAAACTCTTTTTTTTTTTAAGAGCAAAACAAATAACTCCTGCAACTTAGAATTGTTAACCTTTAGAAATACAGGTCTGTGGGTCTTATTATTGAACATAGTTATTAGAAATGCCATTGCCAAGCCCTGACTTACTGTGTGGCTCAGTGGACTGAGTGCTGGCCTGCAAACCTGAAGGTCTCCAGTTCAATCCCCAGTCCGGGCACATGCCTGGGTTGTGGGCCAGGTTTCCAGTAGGGGGCATATGAGAGACAACTGACTGATGTTCTCTCTTGCACATCGGTATTTCTCTCCCTCTCTTTCTCCCTCCCTTCCTGTCTCTCTAAACATAAATAAAATCTTAAAAAAAAAATGTGTCTTCCCTAAGTGAGTAGAAACCATCACTTTGCATGTCTGTACCACGCAGGCGAAGTCAAGCGTAGGTGACTACAGCAGAAACTATGACTCTGCCTGAGAGATACGACTAGGTGAACTCGTTACAAGTAGCAGTGAAGCGTGCCTGAAGGGCGACTGAGAACTAAAAGAGAAATGCATACACCCTACTGATTCACCGAGATCATCTCAACTTGCCACATGAAAACAGGACTCCACAGAGCCACCTCCAAGTCTGCGGAAGCGACAGTGCACTCATCTGCGGAGCGAAGAATCCTTTCTTCCACGAACACAGCACACTTCCTACTTCGGGGCAGGGTGGGGGCGTCCTGGGCAAGCTAGTGACAGAACTGTCAGGAAAACACACTTTCCTGCCCTTCATCAGCTTCCTCGGCTGTCTTTAAGAGACGACACTCTCTGTAAAAAGCTAACTTAGCTCCGGCTTCTGCCCCCAAGAAAAGACAGGGAGTTCGCTACAGGTTTATTTAGAATGGCACAGAACTCAAAACAAGGCAGGCTTATTTTTAAAAGGAAAGGACTCCCGATGTGTGCCTGAGGTCCGGTGCCTAGGAGAAGCCTGAGCCTGCCAGGTGGGCGGGGGAAGACCAGACAGGACCATTTCTAGTAAGAACTGAGCCTGGAGGAGGGTGGGAGGCGGAGCTCCGGGGCCGGGCAGAAGGCAGTGGGACTTGGGTGGTGGGATTTGGGGGGCAGGACAGAGATGGGCCACACTCGGATGCAGGAAGCTTCATTCCCCAAATCAATGCCACTCAACCCGTCCCTGACTCACAGCAGCAAATGCTACACCGTGCAGCCCTTCCTGCGCCGCTCATCCCCACCCCACCCCAGAAAGCCCGATTTTAAATGATCGTAATAGTCAGAAATTTAGAAATAATGTTGAGGTTTCTCCTAATAGAAGTCAGATCTATTTTGCAGAATCCTCTGCAGGTGGAGGGCTGAGGGAGCTCCAGACGTTTGTGGCTTTGGCAGCGGAAAGTTCCGTTCTGCCTCCCTCCAGGCTGCGGCCAGAGAATGCTGGCCCCTTCGGCGACGGAGGCCGGCTTCTGCCAGAAAACTCACATACTTGTGGGCGGAGTCAGTTGGGAGGCTGGAGGGAACTTTTTTTTTCAAGCGTCCAAACTCAGCAGGGACTTCCAAGGGGTGAAAAATAATTACCTCGGGGGTTAGCAAATTTCCACTGTTCTTGGAGCCAGAGGAGGAGGCAGGGCGAGGAACTGGCGCTCGAGGGCGGGGGCGGAGCCTGAAGCCTGGGTGGGCGTGTCCTCGGAGCCTTTCCTTAGTGGACTTTCAGGGTAGGATGGCAGCAGCCAAGGCTGCCCTGGTTCAGGGCTCTCTGCGTCCCAGCCCTGGCAAGACTCGCCCAAGTGGCTACCACTCCAGCTACCTCCATTAGTATGCAGGGACCAGGGAAATAAGGATTGTGCAGCGTTAACTCAAGGGCATACGCAAGGTCACCTTTAAAGAGTAGATCTTCTGCCCTGGCTGGCTGGTGTGGCTCAGTGGATTGAGCACCAGCCTGTGAACCCAGGGGTTGCTGGTTCAATTCCCAGTCAAGGAACAGGCCTGGGTTGCAGGCAAGGTCCCCAGTAGGGGGCGCACAAGAGGCAACTACACATCAATGTTTCTCCTTCTCTTTCTCTCTCCCTTCCCCTCTCTAAAAGTAAAGAAATAAAATCTTAAAAAAAAAAGTGGATTCTCCTATTGAGGAGTTCGCAGTGTCTCTGAGAAACAGACCAAAGCTATTGTTCACGTAGTCCTGCCAGTGCCCGCCTAGGGCACACGTGTGCCGCACACGGACCCCAGCCTGGGGCAGGCGTGGGCTCAGGTGAAGACTTAAGAATCTATGGCTTAAAGGGCCAGCAAGGCCTGAGATGGAGGCGAGGCCGGCCTGAAGCCGGTACTTCAATCGAGGAAAGAGTGAGTCTGTTACAAGGGAGGTTTACCCGCTGTTGTGAACAAACCAGAAAGGCACACAGAGGTACAGGAGGACAGTCCAGGACAGAGCACCTGGGCCAGGGGGCCTGGATGCTGCCCACTGCCCGACGCGGCCCCTCCTGGCGCAGACTCTGTCCAGCCGGTGGACACGTGAACCGATGTCCAACCGGTGAGCTCACTGCTCAGGCTGTGCCCTCGCCCGCCAACTGCCTGCCTGGGAGACGCATCTGAAGGGGCTGCAGCCCCAGGCCCCCCACGCCAGGTGTGAACACGACGGCCTGTGAGGCAGGTACAGTCCTCACTGGGACAGAATGAAGAAGCATGCCGTGTGCCCCGCCCAGGTGGCTCGGTAGGTCGGAACGTTGTCCTGCTCACCAAAAGGTTGTGGGCCTGATCCCCAATCGGAGCGCATAGGGGAGGCCACCCATTCATTCTTCTCCCTCTTCCTCTCTCTCTAAAATAATTAAAAGAACGAATTTGTCTTACGCACTGGTCTTGTGAGCTGGCATGAGCTCACCCGTGAGAGATCACACAACTGTCACTTATTTCACTGGCAAATCGGAGTGTTAACACGGCCACATTGAGGTCTCAGTGTCTCCTGGCAGCCGGCTTCGGGCCCTCGAGCCGGAAGTGACCGCACTCACCTCTTACGGGACAGTGGATGGTGACGTCTGCTCCCAGGGCTGCCTTCAGGGTGCCCCCAACCACAGTGGACAGAGGGCCTTGCTCCGTGCCGGTGACGTTTCTTTCCAGGGACGAGATGGCAGGCGCCTCTTCAATGGAAGGGAACAGAAAACACCACGTCAGGTTCAAACGGCGTTGGCTCCTTGGTGAACCAAGCTGCGCTTGGCAAAGGGTGACGAGCTCTCTGAGAGCTGTGGATGGTCCCGGCTCTCTCTGCCCCTTGATGGGAGGGACACGCACAGCCTGGGGGCACTCAGTGGACAGATGGACGGACAAAGAGATACCTATGAAGGTGCACTGGTTGCAACAACCACGCACGGGCTACCAGGGCATTTGGTTTTACGGCCACATCCCTCTTTGGTACCCGTGATAACTGGAGGGAGGCTGAGGGGACGGGTGTGCAGGAGCTCCAGGAGGACCTAACCCACCAGGACATCTGACTCCTTCCCCAGAAAGGCAACTGGAGAAGGAAATCCCACATCGAACTTGTGTGGCGAAAACGATACACACCCAAGGCCTCTGAGAATCGGGGACTCAGTTCAAGGACTTTAATGTCGCCGGGTTTTTGAGAATGATGTCCTTTTCCCAGACTGATTCATAAACTCACTCACACGGTGCCTGAGCTGGCAGTGGGGGGACGAGTTAGAAAACACCCTCAAACCACTGAGCCCGCAGCGAGGCACTGCGAGCGTGAGGTGGAGAAGGGTCTGGTTATCGGGGGGCCGTTCAGCAGTGCGTGGGCATCGGGGAGGACGTTGCTAGAGCACCCCTCCGCCCACCCCGCCATCAGCACCCAGAAGGAAGGGCCACATTTCCTTCACTTGTTTTCGTACCTACGCCCAGAGCATGGGCGAATAGGAACAGTTAGCTCAATGGCGGGTTCCCATCTATTCTGGGAAGGAGAATTCCAGAACAAGCATGGTCGGATGACCAAAGGTTCCATTCTCCCTCAGAGGGCCAGGGGTGGTGGAAAGCTACACTGAGACTTAAAAAGCCGGGAGCCACTCTTGGGCCGGGAGAGGGGGCAGCCAACACAGCAAGTCCTCTGGCCCCTGTGGGACCCTGCATCAGCTCGCCCGGGAATCTGGGTAGTTCCAGGACTGACTTCAGGGAGGATCTGTGAGTTGCAAGGGGGGAACTTCTACTCATCACAGGGATTTTAGAGCCTTGGGATCAAAGTTTCCTGGAGAGGTGGAAACCACCCAGGAGGATCTAGTTCCGAGGGTCCCACCTCCATCCAGAACATGGGGGGGACTGCGAGTCAGGCCCCACAGACTCAACTGGTCCCACCCCGTCAATGTATAGACTACAAAGCCCACCACAGACGTGTCTGAGTGCTGGGTTCGAATCCCCGACCTTGTCCCTCTGCTCATTCCCAGCCCCTCAGAGACACAGAGCAGGGAGTGGGGAGGAGGGGGCTCTTGCTTTATGTGCAATCGCAGAGCATGAGCTGGCCACAAGGAGGCGCTGCAACCTTGCCACCTAAAAAGAAAATGTTGCTTCGCACTAAAACCACACTCGAATATTCTCACGGCATTGCTGAGAAGATACACGCTGATGTACAGGTGCAATGCCCTGCATGTGTGTGTGTAAGAGTTGGTGGGTGTGCCGCCGGGAGGCTTACACCAATCGCAGAAGGGGAATTGTTCTCTTTGCTTGACTGGTGGCTCTTTAAAAAGAACAGCAGCACCAATTAAATGCTGTCTTGTTCTTGTTCATTCCCAGTTCTTAGAGAGTTCTACAAGAGCTGTGTTCTAAGGGTAGCCACCAGGCCAGCAGCATCGGCACAACCTGGGACCACGTTAAATTTTCAGATCCCCTCCCAAACCTCCAGGGTCAGAACCTCTGGGAGTGGGGGGGTCTAGACATCTGTGTTTTCAACCGCCCCCAACAGGGGGCGCCGCTGCTCACGGCAGTTTGAGAACTGCTCTGGAGTTTGTTACAACCAGAAACCCCAGGCAGGCCGGGTTCCGACTCTGAGCAGTTAGGTACCTGCGTGCAGCACCGAAGAACTCTCCGCGTCGGAACCCAGATGGTTAGCCACTGAGCACTGGTAGACGCCTCGGTCCTTCTTCGTGGGGTTCCGAATCTGCAGTTTCCCCGATCCAGACAAGATTATTCTGTAGGGCAGTGAGAAAGAGGATGCCGTCAGGTCATGTGTTTAGTGGCTCCAGGACCACGGCAGATCACACAGAAAGACGATGGTCAGATCACAGATGTGGGTCTGCCGCGGACCCCAGAAGATGACCAACAGGCAGGAAATTCCACGGACCAGAGGGCGGCAAAGTCGTGCCTCTCAGCTTAAACGCGCAGCAGACATGACAGGCGCAGCTGGATGGAGCTGGATGATGTCCTTTTCCCAGACTAATTCATAAACTCAGTCTTCTCTCGCTCTGCATGAGAGCAGGCTTCCCATCATGGAGTCAATGCCTCCTCTACCACATTGTCTAAAAAGACGCACCAGCCTCCCAAATCCTCCCTAACCAGCTGCAGGTGTGAATTTTCCCACTTGGATTTTCACGCTGGGCGGGCAACAGGTACCGTCTCTCTGTCACTGTGCAGGCTGAGGCTGCGCTGGGATGTTTCGCCTGCTCAGGACCAGGGCTGCCGCGTGTGGGAGTTTCCCACGGCTTCCCAGCCAGGGGGGGCCGTTCACCTGGGGGCTCTGGTCTGAGAATCAGAGCTGGTTGGAGCGTCCCAGCAAGTGAGACGGTTATTCAGGGAACAGAAAGAGTGTTTGTTCTGCCTTCATTTCCTTCCTTCATTCCTTCGTTCGTTCCTTCCTTCCTTCCTTCTTTCTCTCTCTCTCTTTCTTTCCTTTCTTCCTCCCCTGTCCTCCCTCCCTCCCTCTCTCTCTCCTCCCCCCCCTCTTTCTTTCTAACAATTGAGAGTGGCTTCCAGGTCACCTACCCCCATTCTCCTGCCTCCGCTGGCCCATCCAGCGGATGGGGCCACACAAATCTGAGCAGACGGGGACTGTCCTGACCACTAAAGACTGTACATCGCTTTGTGACATGGGCCACTTAGGCATTTCCTGTCACTTCATGTTGCTTGCCCCTGCTCCTGCCAGCATGCACGTCTAACGGTTTCCAGAACGTTCCATAACCTTTCATCGCCCTAAGCTTTTGCATATGGTGTTCACTGTATTTGGAATGTCCTTCCTGCCTCCGGCAAGCTCTGGCCTACCCACTGCGCCCTGGACCAAATGCAATTTCCCCTGAAGCTCTTCCCAACTCTCCCAGACTTATCTCCGGCTCCCTCTGGCTTCCTTCTGCTCTGGTTCATATATTTATTTGATGAAAAATCAATGTCTTCCCACTAGATTGTGATCTTTTCCAGACCAGGGACCAAAGTTTATTTGCAGCTGTACATTCTCACTGACTTTTATACAGCAAGTTGTCAAGAACCTCAGATGAAATAAATGTATGAATGATCAGAGTAGATAAAAATAATGGCATTGAGTCTGTGTAGGAGGGAGACTCAGCAACCCCCCCCCCCGCCCCGGCAAAACAGTATATATGGAAAAAGACACAAAAGTAGGCAGAAATCAAAACAGCCAACTTCCCCAGGACAAAAACAGGAGTGTAGCAGGCCTCGCTATGATAGGGCCAGATTCTAGTTCACTCCCAAATCCCTAGGAAAGAGCAGTTGATTGAGAACAAAAGTTTAGCCCTGGTTGGTGTGGCTCAGTGGATTAAGTATCGGCCTACAAACTGAAAGGTCACTGGTTCAATTCCCAGTCAGAACATGTGCCTGGGTTGCAGGCTAGGTCCCCAGTAGGGGGCGTGCAAGAGGCAACCAGTGGACGTTTTATATATGGATGTTTCTCTCTCTTTCTAAAAATAAAAAAGAATAAAAGTTTAACTGTAACAATTAACTAGCTTGAAAAATAAATACACCACAGAGTTTTCTTAAAGTTATTTCATCTATATATATTTGTATGATTTAGCAATTCTCAAATTATTCCTTCGGTCTGTGGGTCTCACTTTGATGGTGCAATGCAGGTCACAGAGATGGACAGCTGAGTGGAGTCACCCACGTGGCCGGCCTGGGCCAGCCCTGGGCCGCAGAACGAGCGAACGGAGTTCCTTAGGGACCTGACCTTGGCCTCTGCCACACGACCTTCCTCTTCATTTAAAAATAACGACAACATGGTCTTTCCACGGGCATGAGCCTCAGGGGATCCGCCCACACCCCGCCCTTCCTGGCTGAGATTTCTTGCCCGGTGGGTGTACCCCAACACGTGCAGGAAAATGCATCTAAATGTGAGACCCTCTTTCTTATAAAGGAATTCAGTGCAAGTTGGACAAATTAATGGGTTCCATTGGGAAGCAAGGGAAATAAAAGTGGATCTTATTCTTTTAGTCTCTTAAAAATTAAAACAAAAACGTAAAAAAGATACTAATTGACTTTAGAGAGAGTGGGAAGGGGGGGGAAAGAGAGAGAAACGTCGATTTGTTGTTCCACTTATTCATGCGTGTATTGGCTGCTTCTTGTTCATGCCCTGACTGGGGATTAAACCTGCAACCTTGGCGTATCGGGACGACACTCTAACCCAGTGAGCACACCCAGCCAGGTAAGATAAGACAAAACTTTTACCACCCACATGAAATTGGTTCAATATGCAATGGCCGACCTGTAGGGTAGGCAGAAACACGGACGTGTGGGCAGTGCTACGATAAAACCTCTTCTTTACTTGACCTCCGGGAGTCTCAGCCTCGGCAACTAACATTAATTCCAGCTGATGAAGTCACACTACTTCAAATCCACTCAGTTCCATACACACATGCAAACCGAGCCTGCTCTCCTGCCCCCTTGGACGTCTATGGCCACCGGTCCATGGTCACTTCAGCTTTCTCACAGCGTCTAAGAGGGTTGTTGAGCTAGACCCACGGACCCCCCGGGCCCGTGAGGCCAAAACTATTTTCACGTCCAGACTAAGCGCCATTCACCATGTCCCTGACGTGCGCCGAGAGCAACGGCAGAGGCGGGTCAGATGGCTGCGTCTCAGCAGGCACGGAGACCGCGGCGTGGACGCAAGTGTGGCAACAGCTGAGTTCCACGCCCCTGCGGGGGAAAAAAAAGCAGCCCGCTTCCCGTAAGGATGTTCTTAATGAAGCAGTAAAACTCACTAATTTTACGACCCTGGACTACACATGTTTTTAATATTCTGCATGTCAAAATGGGAAGGCTGCGCAGTGCTCGGGTATCGGCGTGAGGATCTGGGCTGCTTTGGTCCCGGACCACCGTTCTCTCTGGAGAGAGACAGACTGTGGTTACTTGGACCCAGGCGCTTGGCAAGCATTTCTGGAAAGGAGCAAGAACGAGCCGGCCAACCGCAGGAACGCCACGAATGGGATTCGTGGCCAGTGATAAAACTGGAACTTTTCGAGGGAGGATTAAAATTTCAGAAAATTCCTCTTCCCCCTGGTAGGCTCAAAGACGTGCCCCAGGCTGACAGACTTTTCCGAGGAGAGGGGTGGTGGTGTTGGAGAATATGCACGCTTTTTAAAGTTGTTTCGTGGGGCTCGTCAGTGTTTGGAAGGTCCGGTATTTTCCGAATGACCAATGTGTGAGGTTCTTAAGATCTGTGTGGGTAAAAGAGCCATTTGGACTGCAAGACAAATGACTAGATTCCACTGTAACAAAAATTACCTAAATGTCATCAGTATGATTTTAGATTCCACGCTCCCACCAGACTCAAGGGTGAAATGCCACCTGCCTAGTTCCGTGTAGTATCAAAGAAGGACATCCGCAACCCTCTGAAAAGGCTACTAAATTATTCCTCCTTTTTTTCCCCCCAACCAACATCACTGGATGAGGCCAAATTTCCTCTAGAAACTTCAGTCCAAAAAAACATATCCCAGCAGATTTCACGCAGAACTATGAGAATCCAGATGTATTGTATTAATCTGGACATTAATTTGCAAAGATGGAAGATAATGCCATGGTTACCCATGAACTTTCTGAGAATACTGGTTTACAAAAATTATGTTCTTTTATACGACGGGTTGTCGGCTGATCATGGTTCTTTCTAAATGGATTAATAAACGAGGTTTTCAGTGTTGCCTGGTTTTTATTCCTAACGTGGTGAACAGCGATAGCTATAACTGACATGCACAGAAGCTCTCCGGGCTCCTCAATCAATTAAAGGGGCCCTAAGACGGAACAGATTCGAGAGCGGCCAAGGTTACTGATCGGGGGCAGGTTCTTTCCACTTCTGAAATGTCAGTTCGCACCAGGGCAAACAATTTAAAAAATTAAACCTGTTCTATCTTTTCATTCTAAGGCATAGCCTAAAGTAAGTTATTATGAAACATCGAACTATACCCCAGCTTTCTCCTGGTGACCCACATACTAGGCTCCATGCCCAAGAGACATGCTACAAAGTAAAACTTGCATTTCTGATGTACCTCATGGTCCACTAAGCAACTTAACATCTGCTGTTTTGTTTGTGTTTCTGAACAGTCCCCACAGGCAGATAAGGTGCAGCCTGAACTCTTAAATGCAAATTTAAAAAAGCAAAATGTCTACAGTGCTGGGTAGCATGATTTAAAGACAGTAAGGAATGCAAAACAGATTGATATTTCTGTTATTCCCTATTATTTTGTAGAACATAAATGAATTGTGATGTATCTGTACCGACAGGTCACAATAAAGTAACACATGACTGTTATCTTGCTGTGAACAACTCCAAAAACTTGGAACTGTGTTATCTTCTAGTTTTGGATTTTATGACATTGCAAACTGCGGGACACAGAAAGCCCCTTCAGACACTCAATCCTTCTGCCGAGGCTCGTGTCTGTGTGACATTTAAACCCTGTGGGCGGCGGTCAGAGGTATGGCCCCTCATTCCGATCGGCCATGAGTTAGTCACGGGCTCCTGCTTCTTAGGGACATCACAGGAGACTGTGGACCCCGGCCCTGCCCATCTCACAGGGCTGACATCTGCTCAGATGACCCCTCGCGTGTCCGAGATATGTCAGAGCACCGGACAGTGATTTGCAATATAGGACAACTGCACGTGTGCCTACTTTTAAATCGGCCTTAGACCGCTTTTGTTGTTAATGGTAAGTGTTCTGCAAGGAGCGAGGCTACACACGTGCTCCAGCTCAAGTCTCATGTAGCCACTGTTGTGGACATGCCTACGTATGAGTGACGGGGAATAACACCACTGAATGCTACAAATTTGAAAACATATGTGAAAAACACAACTTTACATTTGGGGGGAATTCTTTCCTAAAGAATTCTGCTGGAAACACATTCTCTTGTTTCTTTTTTTTAGATTTTATTTATTTACTTATTTTTAGAGAGAGGGGAAAGAGAGGAAGAGAAACATCAATGTGTGATTGGCTCTCACACGCCCCCTAGTGGGGACCTGGCCCTCAACCCAGGCACGTGCCCTGACTGGGAATTGAACCAGCAACCCTTTGGTTTGCAGGCTGGCATTCAATCCACTGAGCCATACCGGCCAGGGCTGGAAACACATTCTTAAGAGAAGGAATTTGAAAATATTTTCGAGGAAACTAGAATAACCGTTCACAAGATCTTGCAAGAGGGAACACTGGACCCTCACCCTACTTACTTTTCTGAGGGTAGTAACAATGCTCCATCTTTGGTCCACGAGTAGGTGACCTCACTGGGGGTGACAAGCTCACACAGGATGTTGATGACCGCCGTCTTTTTCGTGATGTACACGGTATTTCCGATCCTCGAAGTTACTGTTTTATTAAACGAAACCGAGGTGGGCTGGCTTTGCCTCGAGAGAACTGGTCCCTTCGGCTTGAACGTCAGCTTGCTCGAGCTTTGAGGTTCGCGCCCCGTGTCCCCTCCGAGCCGAGCCTCCGGAGGCACCTCTCCCTGGGCGGCCCTCCACGGCAGGGGTGCCGGCTGGGCCTTCGCCAACTCGGCCACCAGCTGATATATCACCTGTGAGGCCACGTCGTCGCTGATCTCCCCGGTCTCCATGAGCTGACTCATGTTCCTTATCAGCTCCTCAAACTGGGCCGTGTCCGTGCTGTAGGCTCCCTGTCTGACGGCCGCCTCGAACTGCTTAGTCTTCAACTCCCAGGAGTCGGCGTTGCCCGAGGAACTGGGGCAGGGTCCCAGCAGAGCCCTCAGGAAAGGCTGTGGACTCACTGGGCTGCCGCCCCGATGAAGCTCATTTTTGTCGTTCCACATCTGTCTGCTCGGATGCCACGGGGCTCCCAAACCGTCCGCTCTGTAGCGGTCCACACCCGGGAGTTCCAGGGAGCCGTCTCCCAGGGCCGGGGGTGCGATGAGACGGTTGTCTGTCCCAATGAGCTTGAGGACCACAGTCTCCTGGGCGGAGCCCGCGACGCAGCGGTAGAGGCCACTGTCCGGGGCTGCAAGGCTGTGGATTTTCAGGGAGCCCGACTTGGTGACGCCCAGGCGTTTGGAGTTCTGCAGACAGTGGCCGTCCTTCTCCCACCGGATCCGCGACTTCTGGAATCGCCGCACCGGGCACTTGATGATCACAGAGGTGTTGGGCAGCAAATAGGCCCTGCTGCCGACCGTCAGGTTAATACGCTTCTCTTCCCTCGTCTGGATGTAAACTCTCTGCACACCCAGGATCTGAGGACCCTGCTCGCCAGGTTTTGTCTTCATCTCTGCTTTCATTTCTGCAGGGACAGGGCACGGGGCGGGGGAGGGGGGGAGAAAAAGAGGAAGACACCAACAAATATCTCAGTATGAAAAGTTTTCTGACAGTAACCTCCCAAGGCTGATGTCCTGACAAGCCAGTGAGTGTCCTGGACAGAGGCAGAAAGTGTTCCATAGGTCTGCACACAAGGCACCGAGCAGTGTGACAAGGGGACAGTGGGAAGGTAGTGGAGACGCCGCAGGGATCAGGAGGATGGGAGAACAGAAGCTCCTTGCTCGGCTCTACAATATGGTGCTGAGAGGAAAGGGAAGGAGAAGCCACACGGCCGCAAGCAAGGGCCCCTGAGCAACGGCAGTGGCCGGAGGCCAGGCTGCAGCTGGAGGGGAGGCCCAGTGCCGGGCGCCCCGGCTGTGCCGGGAGTGCATTCCTGTGTCCTGTCTGCTTCCATGGCCTGCGTGTTGGCAAGCGTGGGAGTGGGGTGGGGCACAGAAGAAATATTACTGTCTTTCTCTTGTTCTTTTTTCTTTTTACCCTTCGTAAGACTTATCATTTTCCTCAACTCTCCGCTGCATGCCAGAATAATTTACAATTTCATCCTGTACCGCACTGCGTGCCCTCAGAACCACGATGTGGTCCCAAATGTTATTCTGTTATTTTAGAGGGAGCTGCCAGCGTTAACTTTAGTTTCACTCTCCTCTCAGGCAGTTTATGGTCTAGCCACACTGCTGTAAAACCATCCACAATTCATAAAAATTAGATCGATAAGCTGCTCGGAGCGTGACGGTGCGTCACATGCCACACGCAGGCCTGAACTCCGGGACCCTGTCAAACCTGGCCTCTCAAGGGGCTTGGAAGCCCAAGATTTTAAACATTTGTTCTCACAGACTTCCCAGGGGGGAAAAAAGTTCACGTGGTCTATGAATCAGCACAGAGAGATGGCTAAGAACGTGGGCTCAGGAATCAGACAGACTTGTGGTCAGCAGCACAGGGGCCAGTGGCAGCCGCAGACCCCTGGCCAGGTCTCCTACCTTCTCTAACTGCTAGAATCCTTGTTTCTCAGCAGGGATTATATCTGTCTCGAAATGTTGTGGGGACTAAACGCATTGACGCACGAAAGGAACTCTCCATAGTAAGTGCTCAATAAACGCTATTGCTTTTGGAAACATGACTGTGGTTCTTGTTTTGTGCGTTTCTCCAGGAATGTTGTTGATAAACTTAGATTTCCTATCTATATGTATTTAAGCTCAGGAGGGTACCCAAGGTAATTAATGTTATCTTATAGGCGAGTAGTTAAAAGGGGTGAAAAATAAAGCTAGAAATACACCCAGAAGCTGTGTGTGTCCAGCATGCCTGGTCCCCACCTGCCACCAGACTCTGCTGCCTCATTTTCAATTGCTGTAGGGACAGTGCACAGCTCCTTCCTCGTCACCCCCCTGCACAAAACATACATTTGCACATGTAAATATATGTTCTCCCAAGTACACTGGAAATACAGACAAATGCTACATACGTATCAGGGATATTTGGGATATTTATAAGCCATACTATGCACTATCTAGGCCAAACTGATATAAGTCCTAACGTAGTAATTATAATGAATTATAACTTAAAGAACTAAAGAGGTATCCAAACTGCCATTTTTAAAAACCAAAGGTATTTCTGGTTTTAGATTAAACACAAGGAGAGATACTGGGAAAACGAAAAGTGCTTTATTTCTTCTACTTTTATAGAATGAGTCCTAATCTATCATTAGGGAAAAAGAAAAAGGAAAAAAGAAAAAAAGAAGACCCAGAAAGTATGGTGGCTTGACTTCTACAAGGAACACTCATGAATTCTAAGTGAAAAAAGCCATGGTCAGGCGAGGATATAAGGAAGCAGCACTCAGGTGAGGAAACCTAAAAGACACAGTTGTTCCGTGGGTGGACAGTCCTTACAGCTGACTTTTCTTAGAACTTAACCTTGGCCTCCCACATTATACTGTCTGTGGCTGAAAACCCTTCTGAGTTCCGACTGGCTCGTGTGGCCTACAGAGCAGAACTATCCAGTCGATGCCCGGAAAGCGACGCCATCGGAACGGAGCTGCACGGAACGTTTGCACACTTACCGCTGCACGCGGGCATGTGGCACGCTCTCACGAGAGGGGGCCCCGGGAGATCGCCGCACGAGGACTCGCTGAGGGGGACGCGCTGGCCCTTGGCGGTCAGCCTCTGACATACCTGCTCTCTGCGCTGGGTGCCCGCGCCGCAAGTGACGGAACACTGGAATGAGAGTCGCACAGCGGAATGAAGTGCAGCGGAACACGCGATCACAGCCAATCGCAAGAAGGAGCTTCCGGTGGGGGCGGGCCAGGACGCGAGCCGCTTCCGGGCTCTGTGGTCCTTGAAGACGTGGAGAGCGCCCTTACTCCCCTCTGCTCTCCTCCCTTCTCCACGCCTTACCTTCCCTCTTTCTGAGAGAGCAATTAATTCCCAGTAATCTACTGTCATGGGGGTGGGGGGGTTTGGCCTTATATTTGATATCTAATTTATTTTTTAGCTATTTTTTATATAGTAAGATGACTTTGCTTTTTTTTTTAACAGGGATACGTACCCAAGACCAAGCCTTCAAGAAACAGAAATGTATAAAAGGGACGTTTAAAAAAAAACACTACCCAAACCACTATACACAAAGGAACAGTAATATTTCATGCTCATTAGGCACGTGACCTTGATATTTGATCATCATTGCATGGACATGCACTTTGAAATTTTAATTAGGTACGAGACATGTTATATGAGGTACATTGGCAATTTCATTAGGCATATTAGGAAAAAAACTAATGTAAAACTAAAACAGTGGTCGAATGTCTTATTTTTCCCCCACCATAAGTGACTCAGTCCCAAAGAATCCTAAAATGAAGAAAGAAAGTGAAAGACACTAACAAGAGACTTGTGGGAGCCATTATTTTTAATGACACATTCTACCTTCCAAGAAAATCTGCCGACCCGTTGTTAAGAAGGAAGAGGAAATGAGCGAGTTTCCATGCCCCCCTGCCTGTCTCCTGTTCACTGCGTTATTTAGAGCCTGTCAAGATTTCCGATATCTTGGGTTTGCCCTAAAACGCAGTTGCTGACCAACTGTGGTGCATCCTGCGCCCAAGTGAATGGTCCCTCTTCCATCCTTCGCTCTGAGTCCACGCGGCCCCGGCCCTCCGAGCCGTCTGGGCATCATCCTGCCCTAGACATCTTTCAAGGAGACCCGACAGAGTGACTTCCTCTTCTGCATCCGCTGCACAGGAAGAGCCACCAAGACAAGGAGCAGGCTTAGGTCTGCTTCCTCTCCCATTGAGGCATGTGAGCCCTCTGTCCATCCCCCCCACCCCCACCCCGGGCGCTGGACCCCTGTGGAACACGAGGCCAAAGAGGGGATGTTTGTTCCCTGTTGGTCCGCCTTTTCTGCTCAGAGGCCCGTGGGCTCTTTCTGTTTCTTTTATTTTTAATCCCTCACCCGAGGATATATTTATTGATTTCAGAGAGAAGAAGGGGGACGTGGGTGGGCAGTGAGAGGCAGGGAGAGAGAGAGGGAGGGAGGGAGGGAGGGAGAGAGACACATGGTTCAGTTGCCTCCTGTTTGCGCCCTGATTGGGAATTGAACCCACAGCAGCCACGTAAGTAGAAAAAATTAAAAACACCAAGGAACGCCGTGACATTAGAATGATAAAGGAGGCAAACACAATGATCACAGGCTCCCCCAAAGCATGGGGAGCACGAGAGGGAAGGCCCGCACTTGGGAGCAAGGCTCCTTTCTTAGTGATACAGGGTGCAACCACGGGGGGCCCCCAAGAAAGGGATTTGGAATGGTGTCCAGAATTCAGAGTGTATAGGAATATTGGAGAGACATGTAAGATGCCTTCACCCCCACCCCCCAGGGACGAATGGAGCAGGGCCATTGAGAGCTGTTTTGCATAGCAATAGTTTTGCAGCTAACCTCTGGAATGATTATTTAACATATCTATAGCCTTTGACTGGTTTCATGGATATGTTAAATAGCTGTGGCCAGGTTGGGAGCCAGGAGAAGGGAGTGGCTGGGGGGACTCAGAACGTAATGAGGGGCTGCTCTCCTGAGTGAAGTGCCTGTGAGAGAGCTTGGAAAAGATGGGCCCCGGGACATGAGGGGATAGCTGCCCAGGTGAAAGGGAAAACCACGCAGCTTTGCCAGAATGGAGATCCCTGCAGCCAGGTGAAGAAGAAAGACAATGCGCTTTTGGTGGAGCGTGAACCCCTGCAGCTTTGGTAGAAGAGGCCCACGCGGCTTTGGGGTGCCCCCTTTGGCCGCGTGGCCTGGAAAGCAAGAGAGACTTTGACTGGAACTGGGTACAAAGGACTCTTGCCAGTGGACCATGAGGGGGTACCACAGTCCTTTGGATTAACTCGAGATCCTGCACAGTGACACAGCTGACGTGCCAGCGGCCTGAAAAAGGGAAGTGTGCTCTTTTCCTGATTTACAGTACCCGGAGTTGGGACAGTGGGAGAAGGGAGCGCTGTGTGGGTGTAGGTGTACAACCTAAAGGACTTTGATATTTTAGTAGAGGCATTAGGCCTGAATAGATTAAATAAACATTTTGTTTCCTTTTCACAAATCTCTGACATTGAGAGATGTCTTTCCAATTGGCGGCGGACAGAAGAGCCCAGTAGATATTAGTATTTTGTTTTGGGGAGGGGCCCCTGGTGTATAGCAGTTTTGGGCATCCCTAGGTGGGCCAAATATTATATTGCCCCTCCCTCGGACCTCTGGTTCTGTAACATTAAAACCTGGGAAGCAGTGTAAGAATGGAGAGCTCCTTTGCGCCTGAAACTCGGATCCAAGGAAATCACAGAAAATGACAGTAGCACTGAAGGAGCAAAGCCCACACACGCCATGAGTGGAGCCAGTGCTGGGGAGAGGGGATTCCTGCAACCACCGGCCAGAGGCCTGGCTCCATGGAAAATGGGAATTTTTGGTGTGGCTCTTCGTCCTGGCTGGGGCCAGGATAATTGGCCCATTTCAGTGTGGAATGGGGAAAAGCTGCCCCCCCAGTGAGCCATCCTGCTGCAGAGGGACTTGCCTGGCCAAAAGCTGCAGGGAGGGTGGCCAATTTGCTGTCCGAGTCTCTGTCGAAACAGACAACTCTGGCCCCGGCTGGTGCAGCTCAGTGGATTGAGTGCTGGCCTGGGAGTCACTAGTTCAATTCCAAGTCAGGGCACATGCCTGGGTTGCAGGACGTATCCCCAGTAGAGGGCATGCAAGAGGCAATCACACATTGATGTTTCTCTCCCTCTCTTTCTCCTTCCCTTCCCCTCTCTCTTAAATGACGGAATTTTAACTAACAGGGAAACTACTGAACCCAGGAGGGAACCCAAACTGCTGGCACCCTGTGTGCCTGCTGAATCTAAAGGCTGGCTTCTGGTGTCCAAAGCTGACGTGGGCTCAGCCCCCCTGCACGCGTGCATACCTGCTCCTCTTCCCAGGTGGAGGCTTCCCAGAGAGGTGGCCCGGCTGGGCCGGGGAGGGCTCCTGACTGTGTTTGGCCTGACCTCTTGGGGTGTGACCAGCTTGCTCTTGCCCCCAAGAATGGTTGTTGAGGGAACCAAGGGGCCGCAGGTCCACCCTGGCTCAGGTGAGTGACCTCTTTTTTATCTGCGCTTACTTCTCCCAGCAAAACCTCACCTCCTGAATGATTTTCCCGTCCTGGGTGAGCAGGCCTGTGCTTTCGTGAGGACCGCTACTGTGATACCATTTCACCCCCCGCACCCCGGCTTTGCAAAGAAAGACTCCGGAGAAGAAGAGCATTTATCTGCTCGAAGGGACCAACCAGCCATCTCATGGCTTAAGGACACTGTGAGCCCGATGGGAACACCACGGGGACACTCAGGAAGCAGCTCCCCGCTAACACACAATCACACTGCGGGTCACCATGAGTCAAAGCTGGGATGTGCGACATGACTTTAGGGAAAGGAGACTGCACCACACACTGGTCTCACTCAGCTCTCGTCTTGGGGAGGAAAGACTTGGCGGCCGAAACAAAGGAGGGGCGAGAACACAGGGAGCGGAAGGCTGAGGAGGAACAGTCCCTACCTTGGACCAGTCTCCCACGGTGAGGTGCGGAGGGCAGTCCGTCCTGGCGCAGGACTTACGGGACGATGCCTTGGGTCCCTGGCATAACTCGTCTGGGAGGTTCAGAAAGCTGCCATCGGTTAACAGCTGCCCGCAGGTGACCCTCCGGTTCTGAGTCCCCCCACCACAGGTCCGGGAGCACTGAGGACACAGGAGCATGGGGATCAATGCCCGGCTCTCCCACTGGTGGGCTTGTGAGCAGGGGAGTCGGCGGGCGGCCGTAGTACCTGCTGCCATTCTTCAATGTGCCAACCAGGCGGGCAGTCGAACTGATTGCAGGCTTGCAAGGCGTGGGGCTTCTCGTCTGCGCACCCCTCAGCAGGGGCGGGGGGCTCCCCGGGGTGCAGACAGTACACGTCTCGGGTCTGGATCCCAACACCACAGGTAGCTGAGCAGGGTCCCCAAGTACCCGTGTGCCACCTGCACGGAAGAACAAGGGGGGAACTGGGACAGTCGGATGAGGCCACAGTCAACCGCCTACACACGGACAACCAGGTTCTTCCGGGCCCCAGACTTCACCCTCCCTTTGCAGAACCTCCGGCCTCGGTGTCTCCGGCACTCTCTCCAGCTCAAATACAGAAAGTGTTGAGGGGCAAGAAATGTCAGAGGCGCGGTTAAAGACGTGACCCCCTGGGGAACGTCCAGGAGGAAGGAAGCCGATTTCTCACCATGCCCACCTACCGCCATGTATGAAGAGCCACACCTTGGTTTGGTTTTGGACAGAGCTCAACGCCAGGATGATGAATGTGGGTGTCAGAAGAAATTTTAAATGCTGAGACGCACACTTCAGGAACGTGTCAAGGCACCTGGATTCATTACTCGGAAAAATTCTTTTACGTTAGGATTGGATTTACTACACGCTATACACACACACTCACACAGTGATTCCCTTCCAGTAAGAGCTTGGAAAAATCAGGTTTTTTCATGGAACATCTGTAAAAATGAAAAAGCCAGGACAGTTGCTTTTGGTACGTTTTTCCAAACTGCCTTCAAGGGAGAGAATCCCCATGCGCCCTCCCACCCAAAGGGTGCGCATCTGCTGCTGTCCAGCCAACATCAGGAGCAGCCACTCAAAAAGAGTCTGCCCATCTGCTGGGTGAAAAGTTGTTCACTGTGGTTATTTTCACCTGCGGGTGTTTCATTACTAGTGAACATGAATTTTTAACTCGTTACTGTAGAGATACCGTGAGGACACAATCGTAAAATGCTTACAATGTACCTTAACCTGGCTGGTGTAGCTCAGTGGATGGAGCGTGGGCTGCAAACCAAAGGGTCGCCCGTTCGATTCCCAGTCATGGCACATGCCTGGGTTGTGCACTGGGTCCCCAGTAGGGGGAGTGTGAGAGGCAACCACACACTGATGTATCTCTCTTTCTCCCACCCTTCCCCTCTCTCTAAAAATAAATAAATAAAATCTTTAGAGAAAAATATGTATCTTAAAAAATTTGTTCCAGCATCATTTGTATTAGCAATAAATATTAAATTAAAATTTACAAAATGGAGGAGAGACAATCTTAATAAATATTGCTTATTGATACAGCACAATGCTAGCAGCCACTAAAATAATAAAGTAGATGTATAGTTATTGACATGCAAGACATTCATAATATACTTTTAATAGAAAAAAGGCAGGCCATAAAATATTGAGTACAATCCTATTGTTTCATGAATTTATAAATGCATGTAGAAAAAAGTCTGGATAATTACACACCTAAAAATTAACAGGGATGGTCTCTAATTTATAGGATTTTTGTTCTCTCTATTCTTGCCTCTGATTTTTCATATAATAAGCACTCATTATAAGAAAAAAAACAACTTAAGCCCTGGCTGGTGTAGCTCAGTGGATTGAGAGCAGCAGGCCTGCGAATCAAAGGGTTGTGGTTCGATTCCCAGTCAGGGCACATGCCTGGGTTGCAGGCCAGTTTCCAGCAGAGGACGCACGAGAGGCAACCACGCATTGAGATTTCGCTCCCTCTCCCCTTCCCTTCCTCTCTAAAGATAAATGAATAAAATCTTTTAAAAAAACCCTTAGTTTTCTGTAAAAGACAATCATATTAAAAGTGGTTTTCAGTTTTTCTCCTTTCTAACTTTCTATAACAAATGTTTTATTGCTTAAATTAGAGGAAAAAATTCAAGGCAAATATAATAGGGCAGAAACTAAAATTTTACTATATTAAGGCAAAAGTTCTCAGTGAAGACATAACAATTATACAACCGTAGAGACAGTAAGAAGAAAAAATATGTATGAAGTGAGATAGATCTAAGAGCTATAAGAAAAATAGAAGGATGTAAAACAAAAAAAAAATTTAAGCCGTAAAATATTTCTGTAAACCCCTGGAATATCCAGGATGCAAACTCTGATTAAAATACAGAGAATTGAATAATATATTTGAAAACCTAGACAAAAGAGGTAAGTTTTAGGAAACGATGAAAAGCCCTTTTCAAGAAAGGGACTAGACACCTGAACTCCTCTAGATTTTGAAGAGGCAGGTGAATTCCCACGTCATTTAAAATGCTCCAAAGTCACTTGGCAAAAAGGCACAGAGCTAGACCAGTCAGTCAGAGGCCCTGGGGACTGGGAAGGAAACATTTTAACCAAGAAATGGGTCGCGATGTCTTCTTACTAACAACGAACCACCGAATACAGAACTTTTTTTTTTTCAATTCAAGAACTGGGTGACAAATTGGCACAGGAAACACACCCTGTTTCCCTCTCACTTCCCCACTTCCCTCCCTAGTGGTGGAAGGTCCCCAACCCCCCCTTAGACTAGTGGGCCCATTAAGTAAGCCCGCAGGTTTCCACAGGCTGCTGGCCACCCCCCACCCCGGAGGAAGGCCCACACATCACAGCCAAGGCTCAGCAGTTAAGAGGGCAGCCCCGGGAGCGACCCCCACAGAGCAAATGACTTCGCAACACCCCACCTCGGAGACATTAGGCACATACATCAAATCCGTCAGCCTCTGGGTAAATAAAGATGCGCCCCCGAGTGTCCACCCCAGCCTCGCAGTGAGATTCACCCGGGGGTGATATTTCACTGCTATTGTCCTTGGAACCAGTAAATATTTGTATGGAAAATATTATGCAATTCCCTGTTTCTGTTATTCCTGCACTGCTGCTTTTTCGAACCTAAACCATTTTTTTGCAAACGTACCTTTATTTTGGCAGCCACCCTTTGTCTCCGCTGGTGGTGGTGGTATTTCCCCCCGCCCCCCCAACATACTCTCAAGCTTTCAAAAACATTTATGGAAGCTGTGACTTTGAAATGAGAAATAGTGTTTCCCTTCACAGAAAAACAGACTCTGAATTTTGCAAGGTGGCCAAGACATACTGGGTGCATTGTTGTTTGGGGCCTGGAGGCTCTGTGGGGAAGACACTGATGGGGAAGATAAGAGAGAGTCGGCTCCTGCCTCCCGCCGGGCCGGGAGCACAAGGCCACACCTACCTGGGCGGGCAGGGCTCCGTGTTGCAAGCCTGGCTCATGGCCGGAGGACGGTGGACCCTGTCACACAGGGTGTCGTTGACTACCTGCTGGGTCTGGATGTGTAAGCACACCGCGATGGCTTCCTGATGGCCTGGAGGTCGGAACGAGGGAAAAAATGCAAATGACTTTGATGGGAAAAGAAAAAAGAAAGGAAACCGAGTTTTAGGGTGTCTGGCTCTTCAGCCACGGCCCTTTGGACTCTATCACGTGGGTGACGGCTGCGTTTCAGAGGACACGTGGGAGCAGATCACGCATCTTCTGAAGTCCCCCACCTTTGACATTCTCTGGGGCACCTTTCAAACTCAGCCCCCGACTTCCTCTCCCAAAGACACTCCCCCTGAAACACCCAGGAGCATCCCTGACTCCCCATCCAACCTTCAAACGTGTGTACCTTCCACAGGCACTCAAAGCTGGGAGGTCCCTCAAAGGCGTTCCTTGAAAAAATACGCAAGTTTCCCTAAGAGGGAGGAACGTTGAGATCAGCTGCTAATGAGCACCATTCTCTCTGTGTTGTTACACAGGGGCTCAGTTTGACCTACAACCTCTGTGAAAATTTCTACTACGGTCTGACCTCCTGGGCACCGTTACTGCCATTCGCCATAGGTCTGCGCTCTACCTCCCGGTGGGGAAGTGCTCGGGCGTGTGCAAGGGGCCGTGGAGTGGAGTGTGTGAGTTTGCTGTAATCTCGTGAGGCCAAAGAATAGCGTCAGGTTGGCCATGCTGTTTATTCAATAGTAAGGAAAACGGGCATTTAGAAAAGCAAAAAAAAAAAAAAAGTGGTAGATTAGAAACTAAAAATTAGATTTTCTGACTCCCAATTCACCAGTCTTTCCTTCGGCCTCCAAGGACTGTGAAACACAGTGCCACCGGCCAGCTTCCCAAAGCAGGGAGCACGCCCCGTTCACCTGTAAACTGTCACCGAGGTCCCTGTGTCCTCTGCGGTCACACGAGCTGCCTGACCCCAAAGCCCCTGCCTCCACCTCTGTTCTTCGTCCATTGCGATATAAGGGATTCTTGGGAAATCAGAACTGAACAAAACCCAAATCTAGTAACAGCCACAGACTACGCTAGTGGAAATACGTAAATGTATCCAGTTGCATGCAAGAATGCGTGTTCCATTGTGTTATAATATTGTGGTTCTTTTCCCCAGGGCCACGTTTCAATCCAATCATTTTATAATATTTTATAGGGTGCAGGATGGGCCAAAGTATATATGAAATATGATTTGTGATGTTTAGTTCTTTTCTCCTGCTTTCTTCGTGTGTAATCTTAGGTTCCTGACCATGGCACCATACCATTTCATATCTCTAAGCATCTTTCATAAACTTGTTTTTTTTCCCCAAAAAAACCCTCACCCGAGAATATATTTATTGATTTTAGAGAGGAAGAAAGGGGAGACATAGATAAATGCATCCATGAGGGGACCTATCAATTGGCTGCCTCCCTCACGCACTCCATCTGGGGATTGAACCCGCGACGTTTCGGTGTGCGGGACGATGCTCCAACCAAGCTGGCTGACGGGGCAAGCTTCACTGATTTTTAATCCGAGAAAAAGAAAGCAACCATGCACATCTATTTTACCTCGTATTCAAAATTCTTTTGAAAATAGAGGCTATGTTGGCGTGTTTTCTGGAGAGCAAGTGGGTGGACCTCCAAGCGCCAAAGTTACCTCATTTTAAGCTTTTGGGATGGCATTTTAGAACGCTCACGACAAACGTCTCCATCTTAAAGAAAGTTACTCCAGAGAGAGGACACATTTCACAGATGACGTGGAGTGCTTACTGACGCAGGATGGGTTCTCCAAGGATGAACATGAGGGCATCTCCCATCCCACACGCCAGACCTACGCTGGGATTTTAACCCTTCACACTTCAAGAGGTAGAAGCAAAAATGATAAAAATCGGTTTCCTTCATTTCATACTTGACAAAAGGTGGGTAGTAAAACCAGGAAGCACCAGAAGAGGTGACAGGGCGTGGCAATGTCAGCGACACCTCTTGAAGGAGTCCCTTGGGGAGATGAGGTGCCACTCCTCACACTTGGCCTCCGACTCCCACAGGGTCACAATCAGACATCATTATATTTTTGGCAAAAAAAAAATATTCAAAGACTTCATCAAGAAATGAATGACGGAAGGGTAGAAACACAGACTCTCAGAGGATAAGCAGAGCCCGTAAATGAGCGGAGAGGCTCCCTGCGGTTGGTGGAAGGTTAGCGTGAATGGAGCGCCTTGCAAACCCGCCTCGGCTAATCAACACACCAGACAACAGGACACACACACAGTCAGAGGCACCCAGAGCACCGGACACGCCTACTGCCAGGGACTGTAAGATGCTGCCCAGTAGTTCACACGCCAATGACACATCATGTTGACACATCATGTTAACACATCATGATGCATTTCAGAAGCGGTGACATAAACAGGGAAAAGTAACTTGAAGAAAAAAGTTATGTTGACTTAATCACCAACAAGCCTTGGGCCCTAGAAATAGATGTAACACACCTTCCTGCAGCACTTAATGGAACAATAATAAAAACCGATCCTACACTGGTCTATAAAGAAACTGCAATAATTTCCAAAAGCCAGAAGTTGTAACATTCTCAGACCACAGCAGCGTCCAACTATAAATGGATAACAAACTATTAAACCCTCCAAATGCTGTCATGAGAATTTCTAGGAAGTCATTCCCTACGAAACTCTGAGGTCAAAAAGAGTAAACAGATGACACATTCATTGTGGCAAGAAAAAAAAAAGGAGGGAAGCGTAAAGCAACCGGAGACTGGATGAACAACTCTTGATAATAATCGCAATACCTTCATGAAACGGATGACTCTTTTCTCAAGAAAATCTAAATTAGAAAATTGACTTAATAACTAAGAACTAGAATGGACTACTATAACAATAAGTAGTGAGGGAATGGATTTCAAAATGAGGGGCAGCTTGGGGGCCATGATCCTTCCCCTCAGTGCTGCCCCCAAGAGGGAAAAAGAAGAACTGGATTGAGACAGGTGTAGGCGCCAGCTCTCGGAATGTTTTAAAACAGATCAATCCATGATATACATGATTTAAGACTACTGAAAGGCAATAGTCTTTGGAGGAACTCCAATTCAGCTTACACACTACTATAAATCTGTTTGAGAATATATCTACTTCACGTAGGGTTGCCTCACATGATGCTATGTTAACACATCATGATGCATTTCAGAAACAGACAAGACACACACACACGTAAGTGTGTACAGACTGTACAGATTTGCACTCAGGGCCAGAGCGGGCAGAAGAGTGAGCACGTATTTCTCTCTCTGCTGATGGGCCAGCATGCGAGGGTGTGACCCCCCAGATCACGGAAAAGAAGGAGGCACAGCAGCTATGCCGTGAACCCAGGGGAGTGTTCGAGAACAGTGCCATTCTTGACACCTAAACGCAAGCTTCAGAGCACTCAGGACAGGTGAGTTCCTTTCCCAAACCGGCGGGGGAGACAGCTGGTAAAGATTAAAGATTGTTGAAAGCCGTCTGGCCCTACAAACGGCGCCGTAAACATCCACGGAGCCTGAGAGGAAGTGACCGATTATGTCAAGAGTCGCTGGAAGGAACCACAGCGAGAGGCCAGTCACGATGGGAAGGGATTCGAGGCGAACAGAATGGCGGCTGCTAATGTACCGTGTCGGGAACACACCTCCCCAGGAGGAGCCCAGAATGGGCCAAAGGCTGGCTAGTGCTGCGCCCTGCTAATGGAGGATACCTGCATTAATTGACGTCATTCAGGTACACACACACACGCGCACACACACACATACACACAAAGACATATACATGCAAAACCTGGAATTAGATACCAGCGCATCCAAGTCAGCAGGGTGATACAACATCTGTCCATTCGCCTAGCAAATCGTTCACACACAAACATTCACACACGCGTGACTAGAAACAACCAGGCAGGGGCCCCCGCCTCCCAAGCACGCAAACCCACGGACACTCGGGTCCGCCCTGGCCGTTCCCCCATCTGGGCGCCTGCCCCCCAACTATCAAGGCTGCTCCCACAGCGGTGCTGTCCAGGTCATCCCCTCCCACCCTCTCGGGCTAATGTGTTGATTCCTTTGCCTTTCACTGTCTTTTATTTTTTAATTTTTGCTTTTCAATTGTAATTGACACGCAGTATTGGTGTCTAGGGGCTTCAGGCGTCCAGCAGAGCGGTTAGACCCTGTACCAGGTGGTCCCCAGATTTTCCCAGGGCCCGCCTGGCCCCATACACAGCTGTTACAGCATGATCGGTTACAGTCCCTGAGCTGTACTTTGTACCCCCATGATAATTCAGCCCACTCTCTGTAAAGGGTGACAACAAAGTTGTTCATTTTCTGTTCTGGACTGTGTGATGGCCGCTGAACCTCAGCTTCCCCCACTGTAAAATCTCAGTGAGTAGGTACCCAAGGCTCATTTTTAAAAACTATTTTATTCATTTACTTACAGAGAGGGGAAGGGAGGGAGGAAGAGAAGGAGAGAAACTCCTTCGACTGGTTGTCTCTCACACGCCCCCTGCTGGGGACCTGGCCTGCAACCCGGGCATGTGCCCTGACTGGGAACTGAACTGTGACCTTTCAGTCTGCAGACCTCAGTCCACTGAGCAGTACCAGCCAGGGCTCACTTTTAATGATACTATCCGAGGACCAGACAAAGGTCATTCTACTACCCCTGGGGGTATATACCCAAGAGAAACGAAAACGTATGTCCATACAAAAACTGTGGACATGAATGCTCAGGGCTGTATCACTCATACCACCAAAGACACGTGAGCAGCTCAAACGTCTGACGTCTGGATGGCAAACAGAATGCGGACTCTCCGCACCACAGAAGACTATTCAGTCTTTAGAACAAATGAGGGCCAAGTCTCACTGCCTCAAGGGTCTGCCTTGAACCCACTGCAGTTACACAAAAGCAGCCAGTCGCCCAGGGCCATTCTGTTTATGGGGAGTGACTGCTTTACAGGTACAGGGTTCTTTTGGGGTAAAGTGTTCTCAAATTGATTGTGATAATGTGTGAAATATATATTCATAAAGCTGTTTATGGGGGGGAATCATCACAGAGGGGTGAGCCATCCTGGCCGGCGGGCCAGCCCCGTGGGCACAAGTGTCATCGCCCACCATTCTGGCTGCATCAGGCTCCAAGGACGAGAGCTCGAGACTTGCCCGGTGGAGTGGCAACTCGCTGGTCGTTCTCCTTGGGCAACTCCGAGGGGCGTGCTGAGGTGCAAGGACCCAGCATGCCAGTCGGGAGGACTGAAACCGGGGTGACAGTAGATGAAGCTGTGATTCCATCAACAGCAGCCTTTCAAAGCAGCCGTGAACCTAGATGCTTCCTGAGGCTGGGGTCTGAGGGAGGGCTGCCTGGGGCACGAGACTACCTCGGCCGGTCAGCTCTGTATTTTCCTGTGTCTCCCACGATATCAGTGACTCCATTCCCTGTCTCTGTTATGCAGCTGTTTCGGCCAAAGAGTATACCTTTTTATGGAGTCAGAATACAGTCCCACGATCCTGTCTCCTTCTAGAATAATTCCAATAAAAAATAAACAGAAGGCACTGTGTTCCATTATTTGAACGGCTTAACCTCCTGTACCCGTTTGCTCATTTGCATATTTGCTTGCATAAGTTCTCAAACCACACACACACCCCTGTCCCCCGAAGCGAAGGGTCGTGTACCTCCCAAACAGGTGGCAGTGCAGGGGGTAAACCCCGCGTACTCCCAGTGGTAAGTCATCCCACCGTCTGCGTGGTGGAGGGAGGCGTCCGGCTGGAGGGCTTCGGCGGGGCCGTCCTCGCAGGCCTGGAGGAGGCACGGCCGCTCGGTGCGCGGCCTGGGGCCCTCGCACTCCTCCTCCGGCAGCTCCGTCTCCGCCTGCGTGAACGTGAGCAGCACCCGGCACTTGACCTCTCGGACCTGCACGCCCGGCCCGCAGGTGGCGCTGCAGGCGGACCAGGGCTCCGCAACGAACCTGCGGAGAACCAGGGGGGCAGTCGTGAGGTGCAGGGCCACTGAAGGAAACGCGACAAGCATTCCGTGTAGGGAACGACAGCGACGTTCATGCGGAATCCAATCCACTCAGAATGCGGTGCATTCGTGGATGCTCGACGATGGACTTCAGAAGTTTTCAAACCTTACTGGCGACACAGAGAATGTCTCATCACAGAGAAACTAGTTTTGCATCCGTTCTATGAGTCAAATCCGGTGCCCTGGTATTTGCATAACACCATTAAGATGTGGTAATAAAACCCTGGCTAGTGTGGCTCAGTGGATTGAGCACTGGACTTTGACCCAAAGTGTCACTAGTTCGATTCCCAGTCAGGACACATGCCTGGGTTGTGGGCCAGGTCCCCAGTAGGGGGCGCAAGACAAGCAACCACACATTGATGATTCCTTCCCTCTCCTTCTCCTTCCCTTCCCCTCTCTCTAAAAATAAACACATACAAGTCTTTAAAAGAAAAAAAGTTATGACATGTTTCACTTCCCAATGCAAACAATTTTTTAAAATAAAATAAAGATGTAATAAACAATTCTGTAGCAATAACTTCTAATCTGACTTCTTTTATTACATGGAGACTTTCACCAATATTTAGTCAACAAATCTTTTTTTTTTTAGATTTTATTTTATTTATCTTTAGAGGGGAAGGGAAGAACAGAGGTAGAGAAATATCAATGTGTGGTTGCCTCTCGCCCCCTGCTGGGAACTGGCCTGCAACCCAGGCATGTGTGCCCTGGCTGGGAATCGAACCACGATCCTCTGGTTCACAGGCTTGCTGCTCTCAATCCACTGAGCCACACCAGCCAGCGCTTAGTCAACAAATCTTTATCGAGTTTCTCCTTTGCTAACACGCAGGGATTCACTCATTCAATGGTCTCAAATACATATTCAGAAACCACACTGTAGGCTGAGCAATGCTTTCTGTACAGCAGAAGAAGCTTTAATTCTCTTCCTCGTAACATATAAATATACACCAAGCATCTGAGGCTTGCAGAAAACATGAGAGGAATGGCCCACTCCAGCGGAACGAGGCATTCATTTCTGTCTCATCCTGAATTATTACCCACTAAATCGAGGACAGCCAAAAGTCCAAATCCAGCCCACCTGCATCTGTAACAGCCTGCCAGCTAAGGAGGAATCGTGCAGTTCTAAATGGCTGGGGGAAGAAAGGATAATCTTTTGTATTGTGTGAGGAGTACATAGAATTCCAATTTCAGTGTCCACAATCAGTGATTTATTGGAACGGAGCCTTGGTTGCTTATGGCCGGTGAGTCTGCAGCAGACACTGACTGGCCGGCAGAGCGCGGAATATTCGCTGTCTGACCCCTTTACAGAAGAGGCTCCCTGATCCCTGCCCCGAGTTTAAAGAAGAAGCAGATTCAGTGGGGACGTGTACACGTGAGAGACTCTGAAGCAACACTTACATCGTGGGATAGTAACAAGTGTCAGGGAAAGAGTTCAGTGACAGAGTCAGTTTGGGAAACTTCGGGCCCCATAACGCTGACAAGGCTTATTCACTACAAAACTTTCCCAAAAGAGTATGATATACGAAAGCACACTGTGAATTCTCACTGGGGAGCCACGGGGTCCATCACTGAAATATAGGTGAATACAGCCCACTATTCAAGGGGCAATGTGGTATCAGCGATTCCAGAAAATGCTGCTGGGATGTTGGCTTAAGATGCAATAGGGCCCGACATTTAAAAGCATCAGTAGGTGGGCCTCAGATGGTGGCTCAGTGGGTTGGAGCATCATCTCGTCCACCACAACAAGGTTGCAGGTTTGATCCCCGGTCCAGGCACATGTGGGAGGCAACCAATTAATGTATCTCTCTTACACTGATGTCCACCCCCCTTCCTCCAAATCAATAAACATCCTCAGGTGAGGATTTTAAATTAAAATCTCAAAAGATGGGGCTGTAAGGGTCTCCCAGAGTCACCAACCTTCCGCCCCAGACGAGGTTTCACCATAGTAGTCACGGTGGCGTGTCCCCACCAGCAAACACGAAACACCACGGCCGTACGTGAGCCCCGCAAAGCAACACCCATCTTCCTGGCCCCCAATCCCGGGGTTTAATAACCAAAGGCAGGAGCCCTCAGGAGTAAGTTGGGAATAAAGAAAGCTTTGGTCAACGCACTCATTTCAAAAACAGAGACGTCAGTGGAAATGCATGGTGGATGATGTGCAGACTTAAAAAAAGCCCATAAATCTCAGATGCGTCATCAGAGGTTTGCCTCCAAGACCCGCTTACTTTCCCAGCTGCCTCCTGGCGGCCACGGTCACCCCCTCCCCTCCACACTCAGTGCCTCGGCACCCCGGTACAGCCATGGGGACCAGCTGCCCTGCACGCAGCCCCCAGTCCCCGACACGCGGTTCTTCTGACACCAGGTGCCCCTCCGAACGGCAGGTGGAGGCCCCTCCCTCCTAGAAAGCCGTCCCTGACCTACGCACCTCACAGCACCATCAGGTAATCGCTACCTTCTCTGTCTCCCCAGCACGCGCACCCCAGGGTGGGCGAGACCCGAATCAGGTCACCCGACGTCCAAGTGGGGCTCTCCCTGGTGTCCCCCGCCCCGCAGAGAGTCACTGGCTGCCACTAACCAGCTCTGAGATGTGGGACCGTGTCTTCGTCTCTGTGTCCCTGGGCCCCCTTCTCCCTGGAGGGAGGGCACTAGTGCCGCCCCCGGTGGGGTCCTCGTAGGAACGGAGTGGATGAACCCCAGCGGAGAGCCAGCATGCGGCCTGGCACCCACGAAGTCCTCACTGTGAGCGATTATTCCTGTGCCTGTTCGTGGAACAGACTCCTGAAACAACCGCAGGGGGTTTTAACACACGGAGACGCTCACAGGGCAGAGAGGGAAATACAGGAAGCACCCGTCCTCCATCTGCCCTACGTCCCTTCGTCTTCGTGCGCGGGAGGCTGGAGAGGGGGCCTCCCCGCCCTGAAACCTCCTCCCCAAAACGACGAAGACTCCGGGGAAGGACTTTTCAAACAATGAGGAGCCGTACCAACTGTCAACACATTCCACAGCTGAAAGCTAAGAAGGTCAGAACTGCATTTCCTTGGCTTAGCTCTATAAGCTATCGTTTTTATTTTCCTAATTTAAAAAAAAGGAGGAAAAAGTGCCTTTTGAACACGCACTCCCTGTGTAAACTCAGAGCCCGGGCCACGGTAAACCACAGGAGCAGAAATATTTATCTTCCCCGGGGCGGTTTGGCAGGCTTTGCTCGGAGCGGGGGTTGGAAATATGGCTCCGTTCATCTTCTCCTGCGTTGTCAACGAGCAAGCATCCCCAAACCACAAAAGACAGTGCTAATAAAAGGATGAACTGGAAGCTGAGCTATGCTGCGGTTTTGCTCGGAAATCGAGGGAATGAGCCGTCGGAAGGGGAGGGAGGGAAGTATAAACTTCACACTGGACAGCCAGGAACAGGAGACCAGGGCGCAGGGAAAGCTGAAAGCTGCGAGTGGGGCAGGTGCTGTGGGCTCTGCCTACCTGCCGTGGAGAAGGGAGTGGGAAGGACACACAGCTGCGCCCAGGGAATGTGCAGGGGACACACCCATGACAGCTACACAGCATCGCCCTTTCCCAAGTTCATAAATAGAACAGTCTTTTAGACCCTGAAGGGGACCCTATTGGATCCAGTGGTCCCCAAACTTGGAGGCACCCCCCAAAGTCTCCCGAGATGCTTTGCTAAAAATGCTGGCGACACCTGTGTAGAGACCAAAAGTAGAGCAGAGATGCCCAGGGGCTGGGAGAAGGCCGAGTTAGTGGTGCCCGGCGAGGGGGTTTTGTTTGAGAACAAGAGACCCAGGTGGGACGCAGCGCTCTGGACTGCGAACCCGAGGACCCTCCGTGGGAGACCCTGCACGCTCCCCTCCAGGTGCGCCCCTTTTCTTCATAGGTTCCTTCTCCCGCAGAATCACAGGAGCTGGGGGCTGCGGTTCGCAGAGCGGTGAGTGTATAACACCCTTCTCGTACCGCTGGGCGGTCTGGAGCCGTTCACTGGCTTGTCTGAAGTCCTTATCGTCCGTTTACTATGTTTAGGACAGCCAGAACCTCGCGTGGAAAACAACCACAGCCAGACACATACCACCCACACTCCTTCCTGTCAGCCGATCAGGGCTCACTCACCACAGACAAACCCCCATCGTCCCATTTCCTCCGAGTTGGGAACCGATGTCTCCGGGCTCTTCCACATTCCCTTCTCTGCCCTCTGAGGAGGGTGATGCCCTGGAATTCGCTGGAAGAGGCCCTCCAGGGACCAACAGAACGGCCCTTCCTCAGCCCTCGCAGTCGGCCCGGGGCTCTCTGTGAGGTCGGAGTGCTCGTGGCCGCGTCCCTCTGTGGCCTTCACAACAAGAGGCCTTCCCCAGGGCCCACGTCTTCCTCTGTTCACATCTGCTCCTTCCGATCCCCCGTCTGCCCCTGGGTGCCCAAGCGTCTACGGTGGGCCCAACACTCTCCTCCCTTCGGTCAGTTCCTGCAGGGTCACTCACACCACGGCGTCCACAGCGTCTTCTGTGGTCCGGGCGCAGAAGCCCGCGTCATGGGCATAGTAGCCCAACACCCAGGGCCCGCACCTTCAGAGGCACGATGTCCCTTCAAGGAGCAGGGACCCACGGTCCCCAGGGGCTCACGGGACCACAGGCACAAGGGACACTGACAAAGGAGGGTGTGTTCTGGAAAGAGCACTGAGGTGGGTAAGGCACCTCCAAACCACCCCCCATGAACACGGCTGGCTCTTCGGGAAGGCTACGAATGACGAGCTCGGCACAGACAGCGCTCTCGGGACCGGCTCTCTCCGAGTCTGTGGAAACCTGTCACCCAGGATGAGGCATAGATCTGTTTTGGGTTTTGTTTTTTTTTCCTGTTTCCAAAAGCGGAAAACTAAAGGAGGCGTATTTTGGTTCGACGGAAGAGAAATCTCGCTGACCCCACGCAGTGACCTTCTCTGGGTGACGCTGCCTGTGGGGGGGGGTGTGGAAGCAGAAGCCCCCACCCTGAGAAGGACGGCGACCCCACGCCTGAGGTCCCTCCCCTCCGCCACCTGGAGCTGCTGCCTCGGGAATCGGCACGCAGCTGTGCCATGGGATACGAGGTCCCATCACACGCGTCCATCGCCGGCGCTGCCATGCCCCTCGACGCCTAGGGGTCTCAGGGCACCTCCTCTTGTTGTTACTTCTTTTTTTGTGGATTTTAGAGAGAGGGGGAGACAAAGAAGAGGGAGAAAGACACACACTTGTCGTTCCACTTTTTTTATACATTCACTGGTCGGCTCGTGCAAGCGTCCTGACCGGGGATAGAACCTGCAGCCCTGGCATTTGGCAACGACGCTCTAGCCAACCCAGCCGCACGGCCGGGCCTCAGAGCGCCTTTGATTCTGGCTCTTTTGGCTCCTCCCCCTCTGCCCCCGGGGTGGTTCTCGGATCGACTCTTCATTCTCAATTTCCACCCAAACGCCCCCAGTCACACGTGGACAGAAGCCACTGGAGTTTTGAGTGGGAATGGGTCCTGGAGAGATTAAACCTGAAGAACGAGACACACGGCTATTGGAGACTGGTCTGAGGTCATGTAGTAGAAAGTGGTGGTTCTACGCTGCACACTCGGAAGCCCCCCACTCTCACTGTGGCCCCCGGGCAGCGCGGCTTGGGTATCATCTGATAACGATTCCAGCTGCCCTGATATATTCCAATGTAATTGTTTTTTTTTTAAGTAGGTAACCTCTTTTTTTAAGGTTTTATTTATTTATTTTTAGAGACTGGGGAAGGGAGGGACAAAGAAAGGGAGAGAAACATCCATGTGTGGTTGCCTCTCATGCGCCCCCTACTGGGGATCTGGCCTGTAACCCAGGCATGTGCCCTGACTGGGAATCAAACCGGCGACTCTTTGGTTCGCAGCTTGAGCTCAATCCACTAAGCTACACCAGTCAGGGCCCGAGGTCATTGTTTTCACAGAGATGGGCCATGACCTAACCTTGTGTTTACCGCTGTGAGGGTCCTCGGTGAAACCCTGTGCGCTCATCTAGACCCAGGAATGATCCCCTGTTTCTCCATTGCAACAGACCCCTGGGGCTGCCCGGAGTTAAACAAGACCGTTCTTTCTCATGCTTCTCACAGATCCTGCCTGAGCAGGGCTGCTGAACTGTGGGACAGAGAGGACTTCCCGCCGGCCCGGGCTCTCTGGAGTCTGCACAGCCAAGGCTGCTTGGATTGGAAATGTTTCCCTGAACTGCTGTGAGGACGCAAATCACATCCATCAAGGGCACTGGCCGTGCCTGGGGCACTCCCATAAAAGGCCCTGGGACTCACATTGGTTCTTCTGTTGCTATTCTCGTCTCTTCTAGCTCACGCGCTTGTTTCAACCACGGCAGTTTAGCTTCCACGGGGCTTTTTTCTAAGAAAAAGGAAAGAAAGAACATAAACAACAAGCTTAATGATCGTCAATCACCCAGGGAGCTGGCTACGCAGCTGTGAGTTGGTGAAGACGCCATCCGTCCAGGGGTCACGCTCCCACAAGGTGGACCAGCCGAGCCCTTTGCCACGGGACAAGGGGGGGGCTTCTGGACTGAACCCAAAAGGGCCATCATAGATTTCTTAAATTAACACATAACCGAGAGGAACCAAATGAGCCCATGGCCCAGTTGCACATACTCTCCAAGTGAACCCAAAAACGCCTCTTCTAACTTCACACCGACGTGCCCTTGGCACATTAAATGAGGTCTCGCTTCTACCAAGTCAGCTGGCTTTCTTCAGCCACAAATTCTTTTTTCGAGTGAAGGATTGAATAGAGAAACACAAACCACACAAAGGTTGGGGCGGGGGGACCAGCTGTGCTAAGGTTTTACTCAAACTTTCATTCCTGCCCTCGGTGCCCGGGGAGGCCGTTCAGGCGACAGCTCCCGTGCAGGGCGAGCTGGGCCCTCTTCTGTCTGAACGCCCCTGAGATGCAAAGGGAGAGGCAGCCTGGCGATGCAGGGAAACCGCACACACCAGCCAAGTGGCCGTGGGGACACCCCGGGGTGAAGAAGGAAGGGGAAGAGACGTCCGTGAGGAAGGCACAAAGTCAGTGTCTGCCCCTTGGCAGTGGCAACCCGAGACTCCTCCGGGAGACAAGCATTCCTGCGTAAATACTGGCCGACCAGCTCGTCAGGAGATGACGGGTACGGATCGAAAATTCGGGGAATAACAAAGGAAGGTTGTACCATTCCCTCCGAATGCATGAAGGAGGACTCCCCGGCTCCAGCAGGTGAAAATAATCCCTTTCCCACTCCCAGCAAGAAACTGCGAGTCGTCAGGGTTGGTCGTGCCTTGCTAGCATCTAGGGGGACATGTGGTCACGAACAGAGAGGAACATATATCGGAGAGATGATGCTAAGACATCCTACCCGTGGGCGCTACCTGCTTCGGCCAATGCACGTGTCACCAATGGGGCTAGAAAAGAAATTCTAAATGTATCTGTAGATCCAGACGGGGAATGGGAAGTGTTCGCTCCCTCCGGGGCAGGCGGCAGGACCCGAGGGAGACCACATCAGCCCTCCCTCAGGAAACGCCGGTCGCAGCGAGAGGCACGTATCAAACACCAGGGAAGGGAGAACAGTAACAGCTTCCTGCTCTTCTTCTCCTTCATCCTCTTCCCTGGTTTTTCTTCAAGGCAGACACTGCATCAAATTATTATATGTGCCCTGAGAATATGGGCTGAATCAACAATTTAATGGGTCCTTCTAGACCCTGAGACGCACCGCCTACCTACCTCTGGGTTTGTAGCACGGGACGGGAATGACACACTCTTCCTTGATGTGGGACTTCAGCTGCGGGTTGCAGCCGCCCACGTGCTGGCCACGGTGGTCGATGCACAGCACCACCCGGTACCGCAGTCCCCGGCCGCAGGTCACCGTGCACTTCAAGGGGGAAAAGAGAAGCCAATGACACTCTTGCTTGCCAGGAGACCCACAAAGGCTCCGGGTCTCGCCAACTGCCTACATCAGTGATTTTCAACGGATGTGCCGCAGGAATTTTTAAAACATGCCCTACCTGACTATTCAGTCAGGGGCCCTGACCTCTTTCGGCCTTCAACTGTCAAAGAGAAAAATGACCACAGCCAACACAATAATAGCCATCGATGTGAAAGCCTCGTCTTGAACTGTAAATATACAAGTCTTATAATAGACTTGCATCTTATTGGGTACATCGCATAACAAGGTTGCATCTGGTTGGCTAATTCTTGGTGCCATAAAGCCTTATAAACAAGTACAGACACCTGATTTTTTTTTTTTTAAAGACACTTTAGAGCAAAAAGGGTAGGTAATTACTTTTTTTTTTTTTTGGTAAATCAATTAGATCGGCAAAAAATATTTTTTGTCAGATTGGCAAGAAATGCAGTTTTGGCATGCCTCGGGATTTTATAATTAGTTTACGTGCGCAATGGGATGAAAAAGGGTGAAAATCACTGGTCTTCATGGATAGTAAACACAGAAGGTGGGGTCACAGCGCAAGCAAAGTTGGAACTCCCCGAAGTCGTCCTGCTCCAATCAGTGTCCTCAAATCTGGTGCATCAGTTACATGACATGATTCAAAACAATTTGTGAAGGGCGAAGAGCGTTTTCTAAACCATCCATTTAAATTCTGATCGACCACACTGCAGATCCTCTCTCTTCTCCGGCTCCAGACGTTGTTCTTCCAAAGTTCTTGTCAAAAAGTTTAGGGAAAAATACTGTGTGCCTATCAGGCGGTTATAATTAGTACAAACATTATGCTGTATCCTCTAGATATATGTGACATGGATGCTGCCAGTTTTTTTCTTGAGTGACTTATTTTTCATTTAGAAGGTACTCTTGGTCATGAATGGAGTATTTTCATGTTGTGGGAATCCAATATGTCTTCTCAATTTATCCACATGTTGGTGAGGAGATGTCAGTGTGTGTGTGATCTTTTTAAAAATTAAGAGACTTAACGTTTAGGACGATCTTAGGCTCACGGGAAAACTGAGCAGCTAGTTCCAACACCCCCCAGGCCTCCTCACCATGCATACCTCCCCCCGTTACTAACACCTCGGTTTAGGGGGCGTTTGGGTATCATCACCAATGAACCAAAATTATTGATACATGATTAGGAACTCAAGTCCAGAGTTCACATTAGGGTTGTCGCCAGCTTTAAAATTTTTTTAAAATTTCTTTTCTTATTCTAAATAAACAGTCACTTAGATACCCGATATTTGTGTTTTCTATTCTTTCTTCTTAAAGGCTTTTACTTTCAATATTTTATTTATTTATTTTTACAGAGCGGGGAAGGGAGGGAGAAAGTGAGGAAGAGAGACACCCACCAGTCACCTCTCATGCACCCCCAACTGGGGACCTGGACCACAACCCAGGCAAGTGCTGCGATGGGGAATGGAACCAGCGACCTTTCGGTTCACAGGCTGACACTCAATCCACTGAGCCGCACCAGACAGGGCTGTTCATTTTTTTCTTAACAAGGCTCCTCGGAACCGACAAAGCTCAGGACTCCCTAATTCTGGATCCACCCCGGGAGAGGCAGAGCCCTGCAGGTGTGGCCTCACTCGCCCTCCCCGCACACCTCACACTGAACAGATGGATACAGCCCACGACCCAGGGACCTTGCTCAAGGTCACACGGTTCCTAGGAGGCAGAACGGAATTCCACCCCAGAAACTGCCGTTGCCAAAACCATGACTTTGCCACAGCCTCGCAAAGCTCAGAGGTTCTTCCCGCCGTCTGCCTGGTCACAGGTGAGTTTCAGAGGCAGCAAGAGGCCTTTCTCAGGGCACACACGTTCCCACGGAGGGCGGGACCCCGGGAAACCTCCATCATTAACTTAGTCCAAGGGCACCCTCTTTAAATGCTCGGAGCATTTCCGCCACGGGAAATTAAACTAAATTAATTTTCATTGCTATACATTTTCTTGGCCAATAGCCTTCAGCCAATCGAAGACTTTACAGCATAAAGGTACATTAATTAGGATAAACTCCTGTGAGAAGAGTGGACCGACAATGAGTCCAAGAGGGAAAAACACAGAACATACGAATTCTCACGTCAAAAACGTGTCCGCGTGGTTTTGAAGTGAAAGACGGCAAGACTGGAATCACCGACCTTCCAGTGGACACACTTTTAAAAAATGCTTTAACGCGCGATTTTCAAACGTCGGCATGGATAGCATAGTAGCAATGACCCTTTTTTGGATACTTCTTAATTTAAACGTGATCAAATTAATTTTAGGTCACAATCTAAATATATACGTGGAGGGGCATGTAATTTTCCAAATCTTATTTTTTTTTTTAGGGAAAATGTGAACCAGAAAGAACCGCGGACTCGAGGCCGGTATTCATGGAGGTCAGGACAGCGGCCCCAGCTCACCTGCGACCAGTCCATGGCCACCCACTTGGGGCAGTCGAAGAGGTTGCAGGTCTGCATGACCTTGGGCTTGGGGGCGTACATGCACTTCCACTCCTCCACCTGCAGCACCTCTCCGTGCAAGGACTCCTCCACGCAGACGAAGCTGCGCCGCTGCGTGCCCCCGCCGCAGGACACTGAGCACGCCGTCCAGGGGTTATGTTCCCAGCTCGAAAGCAAACAGACGACAGCACGTTATTTATGGGTTGGCGGCACGCCTCTTTCGAGCCGGTGCAAAGGACAGTGAGACACTTGTGGTTCAGCTCGGAGAGCACGGGACCCGGAGGGTTACCACCTGAGTCTCCACGGCCACAGGCACCTAACATCTCCGACCCCCCCCAGGCTGCTGTCGCGTGGGAACAACCCACCTGCCCTCGTGACCTTTCATGAGACCTTGGTGAGGGTCAGGTTAGCTAAGCACAGAGTGCGCAAGCATTGCCAGCTGCCCCTCAACTATGAAATACTACAGGGCACTGTTACTGGAGTCACAGAAAGTCCAAATCAGAAAGGACCAGGCTACTCATCTAAGAAACAGGGATGTGAATTCTGATCCCTGGCAACATGGGAGCCCCCCTCCGCATCCCCAGGCTGGCAGGACGCACCCCACACCTGCAGGGACAGCAAACGCCACCGCTGGAGGTGGCCTGTCCCACCGAGTTCGAGGAAAGGTCTTTCTCATCACTGAGCTCCCTGCCTGCCCCGGGTCCGCCCTCCTGCCATCCCCCGCCCCCCAACGGCATTCCAGACTCTCGGGACAGACACAGCCGTTCCTTGCAAATGGCTTGGAGCAAAATACAATAAAGGAACAATATCACTCACCGAGGGAGAGGCTGGAAGTGGTCGTAGGGCATGATCTCTTTAAACCCGTCGCTGCAAAGGAAACCATCGTGAAACCGTCATTTCTAAATCCACAGACGCACTGGTTAAACTGGTACTAATTCGACAGCCCAAGGTGCGAAACTCTCTTGAGCTGAAAGCTAAGTGTGCAAAGTGCTGTGCACGCTTTCTCCCAGTTCAGCCACCATCCCCTTCCTTTCCGGAAACATCTCGGACACACACCCTCCCCAGGTCCATAGGAAAATACAGTAAAGGGAACTAGTGACCTGTGTTCCCCCCAAAAGACAGTTCCTCCTTATTTGGATCAATCTGTCTCTTCGGCATTTATCCCTTAACAAGGTTATTCTGATAAAATACGTTGATGGTGTTACCACGCTGTCGTACAGGCAGGTCTTTGGGAAACGATTTCAGTTCACAGAATGGGGAAGGTCCCTATGAATAATAATGAGGTCACAGGAAGCGGGCAGGACTAGTGACAGGAAATGAAGTCCTCCGAGCACGCTTCCTGCTTCGCTCCCACACCTCCACCTCGGCCAGCTGGCGGAGACCGGGGGGATTCTGGGCCGAGACACCGGGCTGTTATTTTAAGATACTGCAGCGAGGCCAAGAAAGTCCCCCAGACAATCCAAGTCCACAGGTACTAAATTATACAAGAGAAGAGTTCACGCACAGCTTTCCCGCTCTGCATGAACACGTGTGACCCAGCATCATTCATCCCAAGTTCAAGGCGAACATTTCCGCAGTCCACCTGTGGGCACAGGTGATACCGTGTAAAAGCTCAGAGGGCAGGTCACAGGCCCTGGTGACTGGCCGACGGACCAGACATGGCAGGTGGGTGAAGGGATCTTAAATAATGCAGATGGAACGGATGCTCAGAGAGAGGCCCGTGAGAAAGGGTCAATGTCACAGTGCAGGGACCCCACCCACAGCGAGAGACAGGGGCCCAACTCCCAGGGACCACGGTGGCGGCCCCTGCAAACGCAGGCACCCGCCCCGACGTGGGTTCACAGTTGGACGACACACAGGGCTGGCTCTGCTGCCAGGGGGCAGTGGCCTGGGCTGCGGCGGATGCGTGGCTTTGGAAAGTAAAAGAGTGGACACCTGGACGGGCAAGGGTCCATGTTGCACTCTTTCAGCTTGGGCTTCGGTTTCACGTTCTCTGGGTAGTAGTGGCAGTAGTGGTCGGGGACCACCCTCTTCAGGCGGGTGTCCACACACTCGGCCGAGTTGAGCTGATAACCTACCACGGGAGAAAGGGACAGTCTGAGGATCGCACGTTTTGTTTTTACTCCGAGAAGCTACCACGCCCCGCACAGTGTTTTCCGTCTTTAAGGAACATAACTCACGGATGCTCAGCCCCCGGCTGGGTCACTGAAACCCCGTGGGAACAGCAGCCCCGCCAGGGCGGCCCTCAAAAAAGAAAAGGCTGAGGGGGAAAAGGAGCAAACAGACCAAGACGGAAAACACAGTATGGAAAACGCAACGTGAAGTGAGCGGAAGTAGCAAAGAGAGCAAGATTTAAAAACACAGTAGCAGAAATGTAACCGTCCCGTTAACTCAGAAACACAGTGGCTGGGTCCAGGTATCAGTTTTAATTTTGCTTTTTATACAAAGATGGAGAACAACCTATTCTAACCGTCTAAGCTATCACAACTAAATCCTTTTTAAAAATGCTCGGACCTGGGTGCAGGAGGGTAGTTATTGGTTTCTCCGAGTTGCCACATCTCACGGCCCTCACAGAACAGCCCAAGGACCCGCCCCCTTCCTCACGGTCCCTCTTCTTCCCCCTCCCGCCCCCTTCAAGCGCATCGGTCTGATGCCATGCTGTCTTGTGTGTGTCTGGTTCAACTAAATAATACTCTTTTCAGTCTTGTTCTGTTTGCTACTTTTCTCACTCAACGGTTACATTCCTGCTACACTGTGCTTTTCAGTCTTGTTCCGTTCGGCCCTTTGCTCCCTCAGCCCTACATGTTTGAGGGCTCCCCCGGCCAGGCAGCTACTTCCGTGTATGATTCCATCACCTGCGGAAATGAGTCATTCTTTTGCTGTGTCGGGCACTTCCAAAGCCTGTCACCGTCTCTAACTGGGGATCACGCACAGCCTGTCCTACAGGGAAGAAGGAAATCCCTCCTCCGCCGAGGTCTCCCAGGATTTCCAAAGGCAAAGAAATGAAGACCTTACTCCTAATTCTGCGCCGTCTCCGCAGAGAGTACAAACCCCAAATGGACGAGGGCCGTACATTTAAGAAAACGACTTGGAAAGTGACGCTTCTGTCTCCTGAATGAAATACCTGATTCCAGGTTTGCTGAGTGTTACGTTAAGTTGGGGTTTTTTTGTTTTTTTTTTTAAGGTCATTTTTCAAAACCAGAATGAGCTCTTCAGGGGGGAAAAACATGGTTCTCAGCCTCAGCCATTTAGGTCTAAAGGTCTAAAATCACACGCATGTCTGATGGTTGAGAGGAAGAGGGTTTTATAAGCCGCTAGACAGCTTTCTACGGGTCACAGCCTGGGACGCGAGCTGCATGCAGGACAGACTCCTGTGTGTCAGAAAAGGCAACATCCAAACCACAGGAATGAAAATCCAGAGTCAAGAAAATGTCGCCAAGGTGCTGCTATCAGCCAGAAAGTCTGTGAGACCGGATGGCAGGTTCCCCTGACGGAACTCAAGGGCCCCACACAGACAAAGGGAGGAGGCCAGACCGGGAAGGCCCACCCAAGTCCTGCGGAGACCAGCGCGTGGATTTTCCCGATCGCCCACACAAACTCCAAAACGGCATTCACACACATCATGCAGACGGGATTGCCCATATAATTAAATTCTCACAGGCTTTCCTTGTGGGTTTTATGTGTGTGTGTGTGTGTGTGTGTGTGTCTTTATTTCCCCAACAAACCAAAACAGAAATGAGAATATAGCTCCTGGCATCAAAGAAAGATCTTTGCGCTAAATGGAACCATACTTCTCGGAGGAGACAGGGAGCATCCATGTGTTTATAATTTGAGGAGGACGGTCCACCCTCCTCCTTAATTTTGTAGCAGTGCTGAGAAAACTCACAGGGAAAGAAAGAAGGCAGGTGGCCCTTCTCTGTGAGGGACAAACATGCTGGGGTTCTGCCAGGGAGCGGAAGTGGGCAGGCTGTCGGGGGACACCCCCCACCCACAGCCAAACCAACACCCCCCCTCTCTTCCTGCAGCCACTCCTGATCTTTGTTTCAGCCGGGCCCGCCTCTCCGGGACCACGTCCCTTTTAAAGTCCCCTTCCCCTGGCTTCTAACCCGGGTTCTGACTATTCTGGGGCCACGTCGGAGTCTCACCTCCTCCGCAGGTGACAGTGCAGGGAAAGAAGTCGGTCTGTCCCCACTGGTGGCTGATGGGCTGATAGAAGAAGAACTGGACCACGCTGTCCTTGGCCGCCGTGTACCTGGTCTGGACGGAGAGAGTCGTGAGAACGCCCCCTGCTGCATGCAACCAGCTCCTGCCTCGCACGCCTTCCACAACCAGGCCACACACTTCGCCCAGGCAGACCAGCATACCAGCCCCTGGGATCCGTCACACGTGGGGGCTCAGAATACCTCCGATCTCCTTGCAGTCTTTTCTCCACGTAACTAACTGCATGCCTGTGAGTGAGGTTTTTGTTTTCAAACTTGTTTCCCCCCCTTTTTTTTCCTCTGGATACATTTGATTTGAGTGCCTCCAAGAGCAGGGGTGGGGGCTTAATCTGGGTTTGCCTACACCACGGCACATGAACGACGTTCTCACACTTTTAATAATGACATGGTTACATGCACGTGCTTCTGAGAAACCCTTCATAGCACAAGTGCGGTCACCCCAGGGCACACATGCACTCAGCTGGTGCGGCTGACTGCCCCAACGTGGAAGCTCTCTCCCTGAGCCCACTTACGGGACGTCCCAGAATGCCACACAACAAGAGATAGAGCTGGAACACAGAATTGGAGGAAAGACCCAGAAACATCTATCAGCAATATTTGGAGACCACCACGGTCCCTCCAAAGAGAGAGAATCGTGAGAGGCGAGATTTGCTGAGCATATTTCCTTAACCTTAAAAACACAGGATTCGTCAGCATAAAAATATCCATCAGATTCTGGGCAGGCATTTTAAATAAATTACACCAACTAGGATAAAGGAAAATTCTAAAAGTTAAGAGACAGAAAAAAAAAAAAAAAACGATGACCTAAAAATCAAACCGGCATTGGATTTCTCACAGGCAACTTCGGATGTGAAGAAATCGAGTCATTATCTTCAGTAATTTTTCATCTAGAATTCTTCTGTACCCAAGTATTAGCTACTAATCAAGGATCAATTCATAAATCTATAACCAATCTAGGATATATATACACACGCACATTTATGTGTGTGCATTTGTGCACACATGTGTAAACCCACACACGAAGAAATATGAGAATATATCTAATGGATAGGTGTTTATATGCATCATATCCATAATCTATGTAAATAATGAAAACAAACAATTATCTGGAAATGTTCAATTTAGCGGTTTCCCCCACTCTATCATGGCACTAATGTCCCCTACTCAGTGCAAGTACATAAGAGAATTTTGTACAAGAACAGTGTTTGTGTGTGTGTGTATGTGTGTGTGTGTGTGTGTGTGCATGTTTACTACTTGGGAATCCAAAGGGAAAATCCCGTGGCAAGCCGAGCCGAGTGTGCGGAGGATTCACGCAGGACGACGGACCAGAGAGAACAGACAGAAAGACGGATGGCAGTCACGGCTGCCTGGCCCCATGCACGGCGCTGCTGCCGAAGGAAGAATGTCGCACCAAAGCTTCCAGGCTCTGCAAGACGGCGCTTCCACGTCCACAAATGGTGTGTGACGTCTATGAATGTCGACCTAAGTGTCTACTTCAAGGCAGCCGATACGTGAGGCCTTGGGTGTCAGGGACACACAAGAGAGGGAGAGAGGGCACATGGGAAAGCCTGCCCTTCCGTGGGTGACGATGTCCCCCCTAATCAGGGCCCTTTTCTTCCCTCCATTCCTATTTCAGAATGAATTTCTGGAAAGAAATAGGATGGAAAAAACCCTCCCCGAAATGGCTTGTCTTTCCAACGCTCAGGTATCTGCGACTTTCTCAGAAGAATCCCACACGGGGTCACCTGGAAATATGGTGGCCACGACACATTATACCCCATGAGGGAGGATGTGGAAATGACCCGGATTCGTCCAAAGGGCAGAATCTCTGGGGTCATGGTCACGGCGGGGAGGAGCCCGTCTCAGGCGCACAGACAAATGCCCCTGACAGGACACGACCTGGGCAAACCGAAAAAGCGGGTGGGGGAGGCGCCCCAGTCTTCTCCGCTCTTACCTTTGTAAGAAAACTTTGCAACAGCACAGAGCGGGCTTAGGATGTGGAGCAGGTAGCCACCGCCCCCCGCCCCCCGTGGAGCAGGTCACCATCACTCACTCAACCCCACCTGGAGCCTTAAAGCCGAGCGCAGTAACGAGAGGTTATAAACACCAAAACAATGTTTGTTAACTAGGGAGGTTTAAGATGTGGAGCTTGAAAGCGGGGCACCACTTTCTGGAATTGAGGCCGAGAAGGAAATAGGAAGGACGCACTCCGTGTAAACGCAATCCTCGGGGACTTCCTGCCACACCCGCGACTGTTTTTAAGATCCAACAGGTGCTGCGCTTCGGAGGCCTAGAAGTCTGCGAGGAGAGTCACCCACCTTGAAGATGAAGTCGGCCGTCAGGGGCCCAGGGATCTTAAAGGTCTGCCTCTCGGAGCTCTTCTGGAACTCGACGGTGGTGTTCTCCACAACGAACACGCCAGGGCTGCTAAAGCTGTGCTCCCCTTTGTGTCCCTGGAGCGTCTTGGATTCAATAACTGCAGTTGGGAAATAAAATTCGAACCGGAGATGTAATCGGCACATCACACCACACGAGTCTCTGGGGGGCAGCCTCACGATGTGATACTCGTAACTGTTGCGAAAGGATCGCCACGGAAAGTGTAGCGAACACCCTTCCCCTCGTATCATCATAATCTGTTTCTTGTGGGGAGAGTTTTTAAAGAGTCTCTCTCGGAGCTACTTTCAGACACGTGATACAGTATCACTAACAGGTCACCACGAAACGTGATATCCCCAGAGCTGACGTAGGTTATCGCTGGAAGTTTGTAGGATTTGACCACTTTTAACCATTTCTGCCACCCCCAACCCTTGCATCTAGCAGCCAGAGACCTGTTCTAAATGAGAGAACTACCTGAAACGCACTCTTATTTCAGAAAGGTGTTTTATTCTGCAGGGTCGCATGGGGTGTGGACACAGTACCCAGACATCCACTCAGTTTGCAGGTGCTGGGCCTTCCAGCCGCCCTCATCGAGGTGCTGACCAGGGCCTGTGACGTCTACTTAACTCCTCGATGCCTTCTCTGCCACAAGGGGAAGAAGAAAATGCAGCCATTTCTCAGCATACACCTGTATCACTCATTCTATCCCCTCTTCAGACCATTTAAATCTACTCTTTTAGACAAAACCACCACAACTCTTAAATTTGCTTTAAAAAAAAAACCCTTTACGTCGAAATCAGGGGAGTCGCAGGAAGTTGCAACAGCTTTAGCGAGGTCCATGCATCTTTTGTCCCTCACTGAATGGGACACAGCGGTCCCCGCCCAGGGCTCCAGGCTCGTCACTGTGCATCAGTAAGGACACTGGGAGTCGGCGTCAGCACAGCCTGTGCCAATGCATCCCAGGCCCCCCCGCAGCCAACACCAGACCCGGCCCACCGCCGCAAAGGTCGCCCTCGTGCGGGCCGCCCCTTCCGGCAGGTTTCTGTGTTTGTGAACAGGGATGTTTTTTTTACTTATTTATTTTTTAATCCTCACACACGGATATGTTTCTTGACTTTTAGAGAGAGAGGAAGCAGAGAGAGAAACATCGATCAGGGATTGAACCCACGACCTTCTGGCACACACACAGGACAAGGCTCCAGCTGGCTGAGCCCCCCGGCCAGGGCCAGGAGTGCTTCCTACATGGCCTACAGAGAAACGATCGTTGACAGTCTCACCAGAGTCTCATTTCTGCTTCATTTTCATGGGGGCCCATCCATCACGGTACTGAGGGGCTTGGTCTGAGGCTGAGAGACGCAGTAAAGAAAGACCCGGCAGGGCAGCTGGGCTCCTGGTCCCAGAGCTCTCCCAGCGAAGTCACGGCCCTGGGGTTTTGATGCTGGAAAAAATGAGGACTCAGCCCTGGCAGGGTGGCTCAGTGGGTTAGGGAATTGTCTCATACACCGAAATAAAGATTGCGGGTTCGATCCCCAGTCGGGGAACTTGTAGGAGGCAAACCACTGATCAGTGTTTCCCTCTCCTATCGATGTTTCTCCCTCCTCCTTCTCTCTCTCTCTCTTTTCCTTTCCCCCTTAAATCATTGGAAACACATCCTCCGGTAATGACAAAAAAACAAAAAAAGCAGGAGTCAGATCAGACGATGTCCAGGCCGTCTTCTGCTCTGAAATCTCCACGTCATTCCTGGTGTGTGGGTGGGGGCGGCCACACAGGGGAGAGCTGAGCAAGACCCGGGACACAGCCTCAAACAGCTAAACACAGAATCAGAAATCAAGACGCTCTTCAATCCCCAAATCTTCCCACCCCAAGTCTCTACGGGTGCCTTCAAGTACTGGAATCCCTACTAGGGATTCTGGAAAGAAATGGTGACTGGGAAGAGGATGAGGTCTTTGGTTTTGTTCTTGCTGAAGGGCTCGCCCTGAGAAGCATCAGTCTCGGCTTCTTTAAAGATGTAGGGTCCGGCCACCCAACCCCAGGGAGTCTCCTGAAATTCTGAGAAGGCCATGAAAGTATTGCCTGGAAAACGTGGAATGAGCGTTCAGCACAGCTTGGTTATAAATACATCAAAGTCTTGCTTGGAGTGCGGTTGTGTACGGTGGGATACACACACTTAGTCAGCATCCGTTACCTTGGGTCTCAGAGCAGTGTCCACATTTATATTTCCACATCTCTACATATGTGGTCATCGGACCAGACTTAGACGACCAAACGAAAGTTCTTCCAATGGACAACGGAAGTTTGCAATTTTCTGGCATCTTGGCTTCTCAAGGGTCCTGCTCCTCGAACACATTGAAGGCTGGAGTTTTGCGACCATGAAGTCCCCTCTGCAGGAATCTGTCATTACTTCCCTTTCAGAGGGGCGCACTGCCGGGAAATCTGGAGACGTGTGTTTGCTCTAAAGCCGGGGCCACACTTGAGACAGGACTGGGCATCCAGGATCTGAACCCTCGCAGGCAGGACTCAGAGGGACCTTCTGTGATTAAATTCTGCGGCAAAGAGACAGACACCAATATTCCCAGGTGTTCTCCGCTCTTAATATCAATGCTGCCTTTTGGAGGGTTGTAGTTAACTCAGATCTTTAAAAAGACTGACTTCTCACGGCCGAACGAGATGAATGTCAGGACTACATCTTTGCTAACAATAAACACCAAGACCACAGTGCTATAAATCGAGACAATACAGAGACGTCTATATTTAGAAGTCCAGAAGCGCTAGCTAAACCCTTTATAAACAAAAGCCAAGGCCAGGGCAGCACAGGGCAATGCTCAGGCATGTTTCAAGTGTCAAATGTCAGGCTGTTCAGGAGCAGATGGGTTCCAAGCTGCAGATCCGTCACCCTGGCAGAAATGGGGACCTTTCCGAGCCCCGTTCTTGGACGGGTGCCAATTTTGAGTGTCGATTTACGCGGAAGGTGCCAGAACAGATACGCAGGTAAATGAGCATTTGGCCACAAAGCTGTCGCCGTTACTTATTTTGTTTTGCTTGTACTTATTCCGTTCCCTGTCTGCTTACTCTGTTTTTAGGGCTTTTAAAACTATTTTTGGAGCTGAGTTTTTGGGAACCGCTTTTCAGAAATCAGGCCCCATCAAGGCCTATTTTTTGTTTGTTTGTTTGTTTGTGCCATAAAATCCACCGCACCCATTTTAAATGTGGTTTGATGGTTCTAGTATATACACAGGGCTTCAAAGCCATCAGCACCATCCACACTGAGAAGGTGTTTATCATCCCCAAAGAAAGCCACACCCATGAGCAGCCTCTTCCCTCATTCCCCGCTCCAGACCACCCCACCCCAGCCCAGGGCGGCCCCTGCTACTTTCCATCCCCACCGAGGAGCCGACTCTGGGCCTGTGAACGGCATCCCATTGGCCCTTCCCGCCTGGCTCCCCTCACACCGTATAATGTTCCCCAGGACGCTCTGTGTTGTGGCACGGGCCACACTTCCCTCTGTGTTACAGCCAAAGGCGGCTGCACACATGCCACGGCGTGCTTCCCCACTCACCTGGCGGAACCGTTTAGCCCAGCGTGATGACTGGACACCGTGATCACGCCAGCGCCGCACGGCACTGGGATACGAACGATTCTGGCCTGTTCTCGGAAAATCCGACTGGCTTTTATATGGATGAACATTAGCTATCAGCCCAGAGCTGCGTGGGCTTTCAGCCATTGAAAAAGAAAAGGTTAAAAAAAATGTGTGGTGATTGCCCTGGCTGATGTTACTCAGTGGACTGAGTGCCGGATTGTGAACCAAAGGGTCACCAGTTGGATTCCCAGTCAGGGCACAGGCCTGGGCTGTGGGCCAGGTCCCCAGTAGGGGGCGCACGAGAGGCAACCACACCCTGGTGTTTCTCTCCCTCTCTCCCTTCCCTTCCCCTCTCTCTAAAAATAAATAAATAAATAAATAAATAAGTGTGCGGTGATGAGCAGAGGGAGAGGAGGTGGGGGGTAGAAGGGGGTAAATGGGCTGGGGGGTAAAGTGTGTTGGAAGGAGACTGGCCCGTGCGTGGCAAACACACATTGCAACACACAGGTGATGTGTTAGAGAATTGCGTCCTTGAAACCTACTTAATTAACCAATGTCAGCCTCATAAATGCAATAAAAAATGTCTGTACAACCACTTTACCTGTAAGAAGTACCATAGCAATATAACATTTGTAGCCTTTCCATTTAAGATTCATTTAAAAAATCCAGTTTTGATGATTCGTCACAGAGAAAGCCTTGGGTGAGGTGACAATGTGACGCGGCTGTACACAGTGTCCCATTTTAGTTTAAAGAAATCAGTCACACTCTCTTCATCACCATTCCCGTCATAAACTTACGGGGGAAACGAGGCTTTCAAATAACCGCTCACCCTCCCTGCCCCGGAGACTTGTCCCTGCTTTCACCATTTGCATGGGAACGGACCGCAGAATTTTTTACAAGATTTTAATCAAGATCATTGGTGACTTTAAACATCTATGCTTTTATTAATTAAACACCTTGATATAAACTTTTCTCCTAGGACATTTCTGGTTGGAATATTAGTTCTGTATCAGACACACACACACACACACACACACACACACACACACTTAAAAAGCTACCGAAATGTAAGATGCTTCTGGTCCTGAGAAACTTTAATAACTTAAAAGTATAAATGGTGGCTCAGTGGGGAGGGAGGGGGAAAATGGGCAAACACGCAGCAGTTTGCCCGAGTGGACCTTGATCTGTGTGACTTAACACAGGTTTTTTACTCTTTATAAAAAGAAAGAGCCGGACCCAGTAGGCTTCTCCAAGGCTGGGGGAGCCTTGGCAGAGACCCACTTTCCTTTGAAAAAGACTAAGATAGTCCAGCCTGGGGCCACAAGGAGGCCTGGGGAGAGAAGGAGATCCACTCTGGTATTTTCAGCTCCTTCAGGCCCCGAGACCCCAGAGAACCTGAGGCCAAGGGGCTGCCACCTGACTTTGGCCGAAGAAGCCACCCAGTGTGACCGAGGCCTGTGTGCTGGAAACTCTCAGCACTTCGGGAAGTGGCTGCTGGCGTTCAGGGCCCCTAGACCCGCAATCCTGGTATCCTGGCAACATAGCTAATCGTCCTCCGCTACATCCACTAAAATGGTTTACCTGCTCTTTTTTGTTCCAAACTGCTGAAACCTCCAGCAGACTCTTGAACCCTAGTTTACTCTCTATATAAAAAGTTTACTTCTCCCCGGCTGGTACGGCTCAGTGAATTGAGCGCCAGCTTGTGAACCAAAGGGTCGGGGTAGTTCGATTCCCAGTCGGGGCACATGCCTCGGTTGTGGGCCAGGTCCCCAGTAGGGGGCGCATGAGAAGCAACTACACATTGATGTTTCTCTCCCTGCCCTTCTCCCTCCCTTCCCTTCTCTAAAAATAAATAAATAAAAACTTTTTAAAAAAATTAAAAAAACCTTTATATGAAATAAAAAGTTATTTCATATAAAACAAATTCCTATCCCCCGAGGGATTAATCCCAAATTGGTGTATTTCTTACTGGAGTGTGAGAAGAAAAATGTTTCCTACTGATACAGACCATTCCAGAGTCCAAATCCTTGAGATGTTTGTCCGCACACCCATTAACACAAAGATTTTTTTTTTTTTGGCTAAATAAATTTTCAGGAAAGAAAAAAGACGCTAAGATTAGATGCTACTTACAGAGATGGGCGGGTCCTTTCACTGTGATCCTCACAGTCCGACTCCCCAAAGGAACAGCAATCACACTTTCTTCCCCTAGGAGAGGACGCAGGACAGATGTCACCAAGCCTACGTACGCACTGGAGGCCCACAAAATACACAAGTCAGTCAGAACCAGGGGCGCACCCGAAGGGTTCTTCTTTGTAGGGTCCAAAAGTTTTTGCAGAGCACCTGCTACGTCTAAGGCGTATTGCCACTACTCACATGATTTCATCTGGATACACTGTTAAGTAACGTTAAAGAAAAGGTCCAACATGTTTTGCTGGGAAGAGGCCACTGAAGGCTCAGCTGCTCACACCACCACCTTTGGAGACAAAGGCACCTGGTGGCACAGCTGGACAAGGCCAGGAGCAGCGAACAGGGGACCCTCGCCCCTAAACTGTGGGACAGGTGATCTGTGGGACAGTTTTCAATGACGCCTCCTCCTACCCTGCCCTTCCCTCTCGTTTCTGTCACCCTTCAGAACAGGTGGACGTCCATGGAAGAAGTCTCACTGACACCTTGATGGGCCAGCACCCCCCAGAAGGACCTGAAGTGAACGGTTATAACACAGGTTCTTCCTCCCCTTGGACCCCCCTGGAATCCTGACCCAGGGGTTTAGGGCAGAGCCCAGGACGTTGGCCACCTCCTGCCTCACGTGGGTGGCCCCGGCACCACACATGTGTCTGTGACCATGTTCTTTTTTTTTCTCCAAAAAAAAAATCTATTTATTATTTTTAGAGAAGCGCAAGGGAGGGAAAAAGAAAAGGAGAGAAACATCAATGTGTGGTTGCCTCTCGAGCACCCCCTCCTGGAGACCAAGCCCATAACCCAGTCATGTGCCCTGACTGGGAATCGAACTGGCAAACCTTTGGTTCGCAGCCCATGCTCAATCCACTGAGCCACACCAGCCAGGGCTTGGATGCATTCTGAGCGGCCCTGACATAGAGCATGCTGAGGGCACACTGCAAGTCAGAAGGACTGTGGGACAACGGTGCCATCGTCACACCCATCAGCACCTCTTCGCCACTCTGCAGGGGACGGCACAGCTCTGGCTCAAAGGGAAAGGGAGAGTCCTGGTGAGGAAGAAGGGGCGGAGGGGCCGTGGCACCAAATACGGCACCGATCAGGGCTAAATAGTGTGCCTTCAGTAACAGGGTAGAAAGGTCGTTGATGGGCTTTGGAAAGGCAGCTTCAGTTGTGCAGGGGTTGGGGGGCTGTGGCTTAAGGAGTAAATGACGATGACACAGTGGAGACATGAAGTGCCAAGGGCTTTCCTTTCTTGTCCGTGAGGGAGGGTGAGAGGTTAGAGTGGTAGCTGGAGATGTGCAGCGTTAAAAGGACACACCCACACAGAAACACACATCTGGACACACACTTACATGCACATCCATATACTTTAACATTACACCCTTACTTAACATGGAAGACATGGGATCATGTTTGTCCCTGACTGGGGGTGGGTAAAGGAGGCAGAGGGAGCAATGGGTGCAGAGCGGCCCCTGAGGAAGCAGAGGGGGTGGGACCTACCACACCAGCGGAGGGATGAACAGCCGTGGAAGGAAGACAGGGGCCTGCGCCTCTCTGTCGGGAGGGAGCAGGGGGCGGGAGTGGCGGGGGAGGGGGCGGCCACGGGGCGAGGCCTCTTCTGGCAGTTGCCACTTTACTGAGGATTTCTTCTTTGCAATAGCCTTTGGAGTCCAGTACAGAATCGGTTTTCTCGATGGTCCATAAACTCTTGAAAAGACTGTCCGAACCCTCAAAATGCAATGCTCGACACGTATCTGTCCATGAAACAATAACAGCCATTTTGTGGAGAGCCCGCCTGTAACTTTTACCGACATCAGTGTGTCGTAATCTCTCACAGAAGTTTTACTTCTTTCAATTTCTTCTCATATACCTACAGGGTATTTTTTTCTTTATGTATTTTGATAGCCATGAATTTTTTAAGATTTTTAAATTATCAACAGATACACAACTACTCATCGTTGTTATTTTTTTTTCTGAAAGTCAGTTCTGTTATACGTATTGCTAGTGTGCTCTGAACTGTCTGTTACAACCAGCCTCGTGGTAAGTCCCCTTCAGTCTGGACCTGGGCCCAGAGCGGGGGACCAGGACGGAGGGAGAGGAGAGGGCTGCAGACACAGAGGGAGCGGGCCGCATCCACCGGTGCTTCAGAACAGGCCGTGCCTCACAGCTTCGTGGACAGAACGGCCACGCAAGCCTGGCTCTGAGGCTGCTTTAAAGACACTGTGGTTTCTCACGGGGTAGAAGCCAGTGGTCGCTGACATGCAAAGTGAAGAAAAGGTTTCTTCTCTGTCCCATCTGGGAACCCTCAGGTTTGGTGCAGGTGGTGATGGTGGTGGTGGTGGTGATGGTGGAGGTGATGGTGATGATGGAGGCGATGATGGTGGTGGTGATGATGGAGGTGGTGATGGTGGTGGAGGTGACGGTGATGGTGGAGGTGATGGTGGTATGGTGAAAGTGATGATGGTGATGGTGGTGGTGGAGGTGGAGGTAATGGCGATAACTGGTTCCTGCTGAACACTTTCATTATTTGGAACTATTCCAAAACATCTTAATTGAAATTTGGGGTAAGAGATCCTTGATAGTGTTAACCTCTGTGCCATCATCGAGGGCCCCGCCTCATCACACTTTAAAGCCGTTTGTATTATTTTACAAAACTACTGGGTACCGGCAATAGGGAATAGTGGCTAAGATCAGACTCTGGAGCCAGGAAACCTGGGCTGGAATGGCTGTGTGACCTTGGGCACGTTTCTTGCCTTCTCTGTGCCTGGTATAGTCGTAAGACAAGATAGCTAAAACAAAAACATCTGTTTCAAGGGGGTTGTTGAGAGGGTCCAACGAGGTCTTGAGAAGTGTCAGGTATTTAAAGCCACGCTGAGCATGTAGTGTGCCCCTAGGCACACTGCTAAGTCATGTGAGATCAATGACCTCGTGCAGTCTAATAGAAACCCATTTCTGCACTTAAGAAAACGGAAGTTTTGCGAGTGACTTGCTTAGACTCACAGTGCTCCTAATCAGTAGACCTGGGGTCAAAGCCGAACATGACACTCTTAACCCTGGTACCCCAAGACCAAATTCGAATTGTATTAACTCACACTCGCTTGGTTTGTTACAAATGTTTCCCGCCTGGGTTGCCCATGTTGGATTTCGCAATCACCGGGCTGAGCTAAGGCCCATTATGTTTTTTTGTACTCATTCCCTCCCACTCAGAAACGCTCCAGTCCAGCTGGTCCCTCATTATTTTGTTCTATGTCTCATTTCCTGCTGCAGATCACAGCTTTGCTAAGTAGCAAGATGCACAGGAAACAAATTGTCCGCACAATATTAACTCATCGGTCAACGATTCGTTTCAGCCCAGAAGGACTGGAATTTATATCAGGTCACTGTTTTCACTATAAAGTCTAACAAGAACTAAATAGATACACACCCTGGTAATACAAAAAAAAAAAAAAAAAGAAAGAGAGATGTTTTAGTTACTCCTTGACATTCTCATTTTTTTTAAAAAGTCAATTTATTGGGGTAACATCGGTTTTATTCCAAACCTTCTCTCGAGTGTTTTTTGCATGGACCACACACCCAGGGGACTGTCTACAAGCTGCCTTTTGCAAATCAAGGGAGGAGACACGGAATATCCCAGCCAGCAAAGAGGAGGGAAGCAAACACCACCAAGTAGCCATTTTTTAAAGGTAGAGAAGGAACTCGGCAGCAGAATTAGAGCCAGCTGCAAGGGCACGTCACCTCAGACCTGCCTGGCAGTGGTGGTGACGTCCCTTCACCCAGCCCTGAGCTGCAGACATCGACCCCCCCCGCTGAACCTGCATCCGAGCCTCCTCGGCCTCAGCCCTCGTGTCTGAGCAAAAATGCCTGCCCCCGGTCCGGAGGCCTGTTCATTTACAGCCTGAACATGCCTCCCAGGAGCAGGGCGCCCAGGGTCACGCACACGTCTGTGCCCACGTGCAGGAGTAGCTTCTGCACAGCACGCAGGGAGGGGCTGTGTCCCACGCAGCCTCGTACGACCGCTTTTGTTAGGCCCGGAATCAGATAAAAGTAGCCAAGAGGAACCCGAGGCAGGCTCCAGACTGTCTCAGCAAGGAAGATAGAAAGTACAGAAAGTACAAAGAGTGCTGAACAAGATAAACCGCCTTGTGCATGACCTTGTCTTTGCAGAAAAGTATCCATTGTTGCAAGCAGAGAACATAGCCATGTGTGTGTTCTCTCGAGATAGCCAATTGCTAACAGCTACATCTGCTTCTGTATTTGCTTGCTTGCTCACCCCAATAAAAACCCCAGGCTGAAGCGCCAGGCGCGACTCTCATTTGCAGCCATTTTGGCACCGCGGACACCCCGAGAGTTCGCCCCTGCGCAGATAAAGCTTTGGCCAATAAAGTTCCATCTTAAACTCCTGAAAGCTTCCGACCATTTGTTGCTCGCATTGGTGGATGCTACACTTTCCCTCCAGGTGCCCCGCGGCACCCTGTCTTGTCGGCCCTCTGCGCCTCATCCAAGTGATCGAGAACCTGCTGCCCTCGATTACATGATCATTTGCCTTCAGGGTCTGTAGTGGGATGGGCGGGTTCAGGATACATCTCCCCAAAAGATGCCACTTTGGCCCAGTGATTATTTTGAATTTGGGGAACTTGAGAAACAGCCAGTGAAAGGAGGGTCCTCCAACCCTCCGTCATCTCTCCGAAAGGAGGCAAATCTCCTGGGGAGTGGAACCTTCCTGCACGGGGAGGGCGGGAGGCGCCCTGTGGTCAGACTCGGAGCTGGCGGCCCAGCAGGCTGCGCAAACAAACTGAGCTCCTCCTTCTTCACCCCCTTCCTACCAGCCCAGCCCACGCCCTCGTCAACTCTGCACTGATTTTACTGGCTTTCTATTGAAACGCTTCCTGAATTGGCCACTTCCTTGAATCGCTTACCTTTGTGGGGCTCCGGTTCATATACATGTACCTGATTACATTCATTTTTCTCCTGTTAACCTGTATATTCTGGGGTAAGGGGGGGCAGTCTCAGCCAAGAACCTAGAAGGGTAGGGGAGATCATTTCTTCTTCCCCTACAGGGACATCCAAGGCTGGAAAGCAGACGCACCTGTCAGAGGCGTCTGGGAAATGTGGGAACATGGGATTGCCAAAGAGACACAATCCCCCCTCTTGCAAGGTCTGACTAGCAGGAGCAAACAGTCAGGCTACTAAATAAATGAAATAATCACTTCCTGCCAAAAAAAAAAAAGGCGGGGAGGGAGTAGGCAGGAAATAAGCAGAAAAGAGAAGGGGGACTTCAGGTCAATTGGTCTAAGACAGCCTCACCGAGGAGGTGACGCTGGGGGTCAAGGTCAGAGAACAGGCAGCTGCCTAAAGCATGGGAGAAGCAGCTCCAGGTGCAGGGTCTGGTCACTGCCAAGACCCACAAAGTGGGAGGGGGAAGGCACCTGGCATTCTAGAATCTTCCGGGAGGTAATGTGCCTGCAAGCCTAGTTTCCAAGGGGCAGAATAGCAGCATAGGAGGTAACACGGGAGCCAGATGATGCGTGACTCTGAAGGTCACGGACAGGGGTGTGGGTTTTACCCTCAGTGCAGGGCAGCTCCTGGAGAAGCTGCAAGCCAGGGACTTCGTGGTCCGTCTGGCCTGTCTGAGAAAAACGGGATCCCTGACATCCCTTCTCAGCAGGGTCTGTGTGTCGTGAGAGCACAGAAGACACACACCGTGTGAAACGTTAGGCTCTCGACGTTCAGTCCAGGGTCGCCTGCTTCCATGCCGTGATCTCTCTTGTTGAATTAAACTGGGAGGAAATGTCCCATTAAGGGTCTTTGGTTTAAATATCCCTTTAATACTCAGGATCTGTCTTTTAAATTGATTTGAGAGGGCAGGGGGGAGACAAAGATATTAACGTGTTATTCCTCTTACTGATGCATTCAGTCGATGATTCTTGTATGTGCCCTGACTGGGGATTGAACCTGCAATCTTGGTGTATAAGGACGGTGCTCTAACCAAGTGAGCTACCAGGCCAGGGCCACCACTTGGGATTTTGCTCCAGAAAGATGATGGAGAAGCAGCAAGAGATGTCCTGAGAAGACAGGAGGATCTAGCTGATACAGTCCTCCTTGCCAGGGAATAAGTTACATTTATCTTGGGGAACAGGGAATAACAAGGAAGCGTCCTTCAAATCACCCCGTGAGGCAGGCCCACGCCCACCTAGCCCAAGACTCCACTCGTGTCGGGAAGACCCAGAGACGCTTTGTGAGAACGGACGGACGTCCTTCACAACGTCCCAGGGACATGCTGCTGTTCTGGCCCGGCCCTACGCAGCCCTGTAGCAACAGACAGCACGGGCGCTGAGCTGCCGCCAGGTAAAAACACGCAAGACCCTACGGCCAACAAACTGAGCGAACTTATACTTACTTGCTCGAGTGCACATGCCTGTATGTGGACCAGGCAAAGATACAAGGGATTGACCTGGAAATACAACTGAGCCCCTACACGCCGAGACAGGACCCCCCAAACCAACGTGTCTCCTTCCTCGTGGCTGTTTTTTCCCGCTTCCTCTCTCTACACACCGAGTGGCCTCTCGTCCCCTGTTCCAGCATGCAAAGCTGTTTGTGCCAGGGGTTAGCTCAGTCTCTCTCCTCCTCCTCCTCCTCCTCTTTCTGTGCAGGAAATTTATGTGTTGTATCTGGATGGGTTTCTGATTTTTCTCATAGCAGAGGCTTTGGCTCTGGGCTCCTACACCTTGGATCCTCTCACTGCCTGGTGGGGGGACAGCCCGGGAGCGACCGTGTGCACTGTCTCCAGAGAAGAGCTGTGCCCAGAGCGTCTTCCCGAGTGTCCTCTCGCAGTGTGCGGCCCCGGGAGGTAGTTTAGGAAGAACGGCCTGGCACGGTGAGGACGTAGGGGCCCTGTGGACACCGCTGGCCTGGGGATGCCCCCTCGGGGAGAGACATGGCTTCCCTTCCCACATTTCTTTCACACAAGGCATGATTCTAGGAAAGTGCTTCCATATGGCCCGTGGAGAATCCCAGCCAAAACCAGCCTCGCAGGCCAGCTTCAGAGCAGGAACAGACGTGAAGGAGCTGTTGTGAAAAGCAAGGGCGAGAAGCTCTCGCGAGGGTTCACGCAGGCGGGGACCTCCGCAGACGTTGGCTTTCACCGAAGGACACGCACATGCCGAATCAGACGACCAGCTCGCCCTGCCCCCGGTTGGACTGGGTCACTTCACCAGTTTGCTGCACTCAAGGATCAGTCTGTACAACCCAGTCCCACTTTCTTTGCAGAAATTAATCAGAGATCTTGGGTGTTTAGGGACTTTTCAGCTGGAATGTTCTGAACTGGCGTCAGGGGTCTGAGATTCCCTCCAAAAAATCGGCACGGCAAATCCAGAGCTTAGGAGAATGCGTGCATTTTCGTGGAGAGAAAAATGCCTTTCAATTGATTTTTGGAAGGATCTATAATTTAAAAACTGAAAACGTGTGAGAGAGAGAGAGAGAGAGCTACCTTTCCAAGAGGGACAAACAGATCGAGACCCCTTCCTGCCAACACGACACTCCAGCCCATCCCCTCCTATTTCAGGCCCTGCGCACACATCACCAAAAACACGCCTTTCCTGACCTGATTTCACTCCACTTCTGCCCTGCCTCAATCAGGGTTATCTCCATTTCTAATCTCTTTCGGACCCTGGCAAGACATCGTCTTGCCGAATGAGATTCTCACACTTCTTGAGGCCGACACTTAACCAGTGCTTCACCTGCGGTGGGCCTGCAGCCGGGGAGAGTCCTGCCCTCTCTATTCGGGCCCCGCTGGCTCATCAACGTGACACCATTAGGCTTCCGGGTCGGCCTGAAATTCACCGAAACCTCTCTCTCGTGCCAATGTCAGAAATGATCTTCCGACCGCCAAAGAGAATGCGGGGACCTATCTCACCAGACCTCACAACCAGGTCTGACATGGCTGCCCATGGCCTCCTTTTTAGATTTACTGTATTTTTCCGTGTCTAAGGCACCCATTTTCACCCAAGTTCTTGTGGGGGAAAAATAAGAACGTGCAGTTTACATGGGTCATACCAATTCCATAGCTACATGCATGGTTTTAATTCTTTTATTTATGTCTATGCATTAAAAGTGTAACTGAAGAAAGCAACAACGATATCCCCATGCAAAATAATGCCCTGGAATAGGATAATTGGTTTTGTCTCTACATATAAGTAAATAACAAATCGAATTAAGAAATTAAAACAAAGGTGGGTTTCTTTTTTCCCCACCTAAAAGCTTGGGCCACAAATGTCGTTGAGCATTAGACATGACAAAATACAGTACTTCCTTCTTCGGCTTCAGTGACAATGCTCTTCAATCTGTCGGCTGTTCTCAGGCACAAGTCACCAAGCTATAACCCAAAGGTCAGAGTCAGCCTGCAGCCTAGTTTGTCAATAAAGTTTTATTGGAACAGAGTTGTGCCCGATTGTTCACAGACTGTCCATGGCAGCTTTTGTGTAGTGTTCAGTGCGTGAGCGGGAGACCGCGTGCCCCGCAAATCCCTGGCACATTTACTACCTGGTCCTTCACAGAAAGGTGCACCGACCCCCAAATTCAAGGATTAACAGAGGCAGACATCACAGAAATGAAAAGGAGGAATATTCTGGACATAAAAAAAATGTAGACACTGTTGATTCTAAAAACGCAAACAATATTTAAAGTTGACAGACTGAGAGCAGTACCTGGAACAGGTGTAACAGGTAGAAGGTTGGCACTCAGGAAATACTGTAAGTTACACAAAGTGGGGGAAACACGCAAACAGGAAAGTGGGTCGACACCTTCAGTAGCGAACGGGAAAATTAAACAGTAGAAATGAGTGACAGTGGCCATATTTTCCACCTCGATAGCAATCAAAGGGAGGCCCATTAAAAAAATTATTGCTTCATGGTTTACCCCCAAAAAAATCAGCAAATATTTAGAAGTAGTCACGCTCTGTGTTGGCAAAGGTTCAGAGAACAGGTACTGTCAGAAGAGGCAGGGGGAACAAAAATGCGACACTCTGTTTTCAGAAGATATTTGACTTTCAGGAAACTAGGTCACAAGTTTTTTCCGACCGAAAGGCTTAGCGTCAGGACAATGTTAGTGTAGCAACAGACGGTCTGAAGCGTGTTTCATTGTACGGTAACATTGTATAGGGTCTCACGCACATTTTGTTTCACAGAAACACGGCATGGGGCGGGAAACCTACTTTTCTCAGGAGACACGTGTGCCTTGGACTGTCCCCGCACCAGCCTGCAGGTGGAGCCGTCGCCAGCGCAGACGCCGCAGTTGTCCTCCTTGGCGTGACTCCCCAGGTGCCGGTCGCAGCCCACCGCCTGGGACAGAGCAGGGGTCAGGACCCGGTGAGAACACGGTGGGGGCGGAAGGCGATTTCTCTCACACTTACAGGGTCCTTAACCATACAAGTCGGCTCTCATTTATGAGAACACAGCTTATAAAAATATGCATCACAGGAAGCGAGTCTAGAGTATCCCTGGATTCTGCATCAGGCCCAGATAACGAAAGGGACTTTCGCACTGTCCCCTCACACCCCCACTCTTGTTCTCTTCGTTACAGCTCCATTCAGATGCTGCTGTGTGCACAAAATGAGTGGAACTTTACAGATAATAAATGTTTCCTCTCCCCGCCCCTCCCCTCTCCCCCTTCCCTCATTTCCTCCCCAAGGAGCACTATCCTGAACTCAAGAGACACACCTTTGGTACATCCTTTTCAGGAGTTCTTTGTTTGTACCTCAGCCTCCACATACCTGCAATCTCACCATCTATATCCAAATCTCTCTGAATATTCCAGATTTATGACTTATTACCTCCTTCTCTTCCTCCTTATGGATACCTGTACCTACAGATTTCCCCCTCTATGTTATTATGTCTATATATTTGTCCTCATAAACAACATTGTTAATCCTCACCCAAGGATATGCTTGTTATTGATTTGAGAGAGAGGGGGAGAGAGGATGGATTGGTTGCCTCCCATATGCACCATGACCGGGGATCGAACCCACAACCTTTTGGTGTACAAGATGATGCCCCAACAAACTGAGCTACCTGGCCAGGGCTTTATAAATAATTTTAAAAATATAATCAAGGAGTGAATCAGAGAAATGGCTGATACGGAATACGCTTATGCTGCTATCTTTCAGAGTCCTGAGAATTACGGTTTTGTGAGTTATTTGTGTCTATGCATACGTATTTGTTGACTGTGCGCTTCCTTAAATGAGAAAAGGGGCTGTCTCCTGCCTTTCTCTTTAGTTCACAAATGCGACATTTACATAACATTGCTAATATGATCGTGTGCCGCCCCGCTCATCACTCATCTTTCTTTGCATTTCTTTATCTGGTGTTGAAAGGCATGTCAGGGACTTGGGAGGCAGACGGCTCCACAGACAAAACCTGACCCCTCCTGCCGCCCCCCACTTCTGGCTGCGGGGTGTGGGACAATTGAAACTTTCAGACACATTTTCCTCAAGAGGAAAATAGGGATGGTAACAGGTATTTCACGTAGGGTCTGGTAAGGACGCCATGAGAAAGTACATGTGGACTCTCAGAATAGCGACTGGGACATCAGGAAGGGCTCGAACTGAACTTCGGGCTGCAGAGCCCTGCACTGGTGCTCCAGCGTGGGCAGGTGCCAAACCAGACACTACATCCTAGCTGTTGAAGAGGGTATAAACCTGGAGGAAGCGGAAACCATCTGCCTGCAAACTACTTTTCCCCCCACAGTCCCGGTGCTGAAGGGAAGGAGAGAAATCAAACACAAGCTGCAGAGAGAATTGAGGAAAAGTTCCAAGGAAGCTGAAGCAAAAGCCGATGATGAGAGGCATTTTCAAGTTCACACAGCGCTGTCAGGAGGGAACGGTTTATGTCTGCTCCGGGTGCTTGCACGTGGAGAAAGCTACCGAAGGAAGCCTCTGGGACCTCACCAAGAAAAAGCTCGAGCCGTCCAAGGTGCCCACAAATAAGTGCCCAACCCTGGGCCAGGAGAATAAACCAGATAGTTTGGGGGGACCAAACTATTCCATGAGCAGTTGAATCCAATGACTTTGAGGATACTTTCATCCTGATTACATGGTTTTACAAAGAGTAATAAACTATTCAGAGCGGTAGCTGATTTTTATTGAACGCTTGCTCCAGACCTGGCCTTGGGCCAGGCACATCACAGACATTATTTCACGGTCTCTTCAGAGCAACCTTGTTAGTAGACGTGATGATACCTTTCATCTGTTTTACAAATAGGGCTTCTGAATGGGGCTGAGGCTAAGTGATGTTTCGACACTACATAGCCCATATATTATGTCAGTAGTGGTTTTTATTTTTTACTTATTGATGAGAGAGAGACACCTGTTGTTCCACTTATCTACACATTCATTGGCTGATTCTCATGTGTGCCTTGACCGGGGATCAAACCCCCAACCTTGGTGTATCAGGATGACACTCTAACCAACTGAGCTACCTGGCCAGGACCATGAATGGTTTGAAAACCCAGGTCATCTGACACCCAAATCTGAACACTGTGCCACCGGTTCCCCACCTTTTCTATCAGCCCATGGACCTGGGGGAACCCAGTGACAGGGACCATTACATTAATATCTCCAAGTACATGGGGAACAACTTAGGAGCGATTGATTTCGGAATCATGCTTGGAAGACTGGGATTCGATAAGTGAACAACTTGTGTCCATTCACTCTCTCCAGCGGGAGTAACATTCCCTGATTCAGTGACTGACATGCGGTTCCCGGGCCAAGCTCTGTCCTCACACACTGGGGGCCCCCAAGGTCTTTGGTTTCACGGGAGTGAGCACCGCCCTCTCTCCAGCCACCCAGAGAGGGCGTGGGCCTGGGAGTTAGGAAGGGCTTGTTCTGAAGAGTGTTTTGGGGCCTTGCAAGATCTTAGGCAATCGAACACCTCCCTGAGCTCCTATGTTTGTTTCGTACTTTTTTTTTGAAGTTATACTTCATCCAACTCTTACAGCCAAAACAAGCATCTGAAAACATCACAGAAAAATTAGAGCTGAAAAGGGGGTCTGGCTGACCTTGGGTTCATAGCGTAGAAGCCAGAACGGCCTTGAAATTGAGAAACTACTGGATTCTGGCTCTCGGACACCCTCCTCGTCAACAATGAACAACTTTTAAAAAATGCCCAAAGTAAAAAAAAAAAAAGTTGAAAAAAACCTGCCAGAAGTGTTTTCAACTCCTGCGGCACCTGCCCGAGTCAAGATCTCTAATTATAATGATTTAAAACCCACTAATGGACAACTTTATCAATAAAATTCATTCACATCTATTAAACAATAATTGCTATACGGCCAGGCACTGCAGAGTATAAATTCACAAGGCAAGATTTGTATCCTACAGTGTAATTAATGAGACAAGCTCCACAAGATTGGAGATAGCCTCGGCAAATATTTAAAACATACGAGCAGCGCTTGTCGGAACCCACGCCCAAATATAAATCATCACTTCAGCTGAGGATCGCTTCACAGTGCCTGCCTACCATGCTCTAATCAGCTAAAAGATAGTGTTAAAAGAGGCGACGTTACTCCAAATTCAGCCAGATATGAAATTCCTAAATAAGTCCACTTTAATCCTCCAAGAAGCTAACAGTTGCGTCAAGCTCCGTTTGAGATCTCTGAAAATGGGCTTCTTTGTTAGAAAAAACCTTATCTTGGAGCTGGGGTTTCCAGGTGCTGGCAGGACAGCCCCGCCCCCTGAGAAAGTGGGCGTGGTCATCAGCTATCACTGGCCAATGAGATACGAGCCTGGGCATCGGCACTTCTGTAAGAATGGGGGGGGGGAGCCAGGCACGAGTCACATGACCCCACTCTCACGGCTGTTGTTATTCCGTAAAACACGTGGGTCTCACACACTCAAAGGGCAGCGACCCCTGTTGGCCTACGTAGGAGGAGCAGCGTTAGCCTGAATTAATCATTCACTGGTTCATACCACTGAGTTTTCGGGGCTGCTGGTCACTGCAGGAAAACCCAGCCTGTGTGAAACAGGAGCGCGATTTAATCTTTAACAGATAAAGCAGGGTCGTTAACAGCAGGGTGTTGCTTTAACTTGGATGTTTCACATCAAGGTACGGGTTCCTGCCTCTGGGGACAAATACAGACTCTGACATGTTTATGGGTAATGCAGGTGATAACGAGAGGTCGATGGCGGTTCACCGGCTGAACACGCAGACCCTGCCACGTGGGAGCTGACAGTGGGGGAGGCCGTGCCTGTGTGGGGGGCTGGAGGGGGGCGGGTACGCGGACTCCCTGTAGCTCCCAGTCAATTTTACTGTGATTTCAAAAAAATCGAGTCTGTTTATAAGAAAAGGCAAAGAAGGGGAGAGGAGAGTTCCTGGTTTCGCCATCAGGGCAATGACAAGCCCTTGAGGGGTTCCAGTCAGAGGAGGGACAAACTGATGTGAGGTTCAAGACAGTCATGATGGAGCTGCAGAGATGACAGGGTCAATACCGTCCCGGTGACTGTGTGCGGTGACAGGTGGTCTCTAGATTTCATGCGGGGATGGCTTTGTGAGGCATATGGATGTCGAATCACTACGTTGTATACCTGAAAATACTACAGTACTGCATGTCAACTATGGTTCACAGTAAATGAATAAAAATTAGAAGCATATTTTCAGCCAAAATCAGCCATCGCTTCGGCTGCAGGAGCGGGGAGTGCATCTCAGGGGGACGGAAGCTGAGGCATCGGGACAGGAAGGTGCTGACGGACTTTAGGCCAGACAGCTGGCGAAGACTCAGATTAGGGAGTCCGTGGTGGAGTGGAACTAGACTTTCAAACTAAACTTGACAGGACTTGGCAGGGGATTAGACGTGCACGTTGAAAGAGAGGAATCCAGAATGAGTCCAGAACTCTGCGGTGAGCAACTGGAGTCCATTTTCTGGATGCAGGGAGGAGAAGCTAGTTTGAGGAGCATGACTGTGGTTCATCCCTGAGCCTGACACTTGGTGGGTGGTGAGGATGTTTGCTTGCTGTGCTTGCTTCTGTTTCTGATAGGAGCATGACAGGGTAGGTGGAATCCTAGCTGTTCATTATTTAAAGTTTTCCCCCCAGAAATCAAAAACAATGGAGGTAGAATCTTCTCCTTTCCCAGCCATCCCCCTTCTATCCGTATCCTCACACCTGTGACCACGGTGTGGAGTGCTGCTTTGTCCACACTCATCACCGCTCTGCGAAGCCCTCTCTGAAAATCTGCTAAGAATGCACTCATGCGCCTTTTTCAGCAAAGAAGCCACTGCTCCTTCAGACCCAAGCCAGTGAGTTTATTTCAGTGAAGCCCAGAGTTACCAGGCTCAGAGAACCCGGTAATGTTCACCTTCCAAAGCGGTGGTTCTCTGTCCGAGGGAGGTCCCTGGGCCCAGCATCTTCAAGGCATTTGTTAAAAATTTGAGTCCTCTGGCCCCACCCCACACCCCACTGGATCCGAGACTCTGGCACCGAGCAAGAGCCCAGCTCACTATATATATATATATATTAAGATTTTATTTATTTATCTTTGGAGGGGAAAGAAAGGAGAGAGGGAGAGAAATATCAATGTATGGTTGCCTCTTGTGCGCCCCCTGCTGGGAACTGGCCTGCAACCCAGGCATGTGCCCTGGCTGGGACTCAAACTGTGATCTTTTAGTTCACAGGCCCGCGCTCCCAGCTCACTATATTATAGCCAGTCCTCCCCATGATACTCCTCAGATTTCATGCTGGAGAACCAACCACTGGCCTGAATGAAGCCCGAGAGGCTTCATAATTGCAATCTTTTTAATCCCACAGTGGACAACAATTAAACTGTTCTAAATAAGCAACACAACTTGAACAGTGAGGGACCCTCTCCACGATGCTTTTGACATTAAAACGCTGAAAAAACAGTACCTCGGGCACACAAAAGAAAAGAAGGAAAAGAATCTCTTTATCGAGAGTGGGCGTGGCACCTCTAAAAGGGGGGCGGGGTCAGAGGGGGTGGGGAGCAGGGGTGGCTCACCTGGCAAATGCCACTGATGCACATATCCAGCGAGTCCGTGTGGCAGCGCGTTCCATCCAGCACCTTAGGAGCCAGCTCCACGACCACATTTTGCCCCCGTGCGTGGCACCTGAGTGCGCAGGGGGCAGCGGGGTCGTTGTAGCGTGGGAGCCACTCGTAGTAGTGGCCCTGATACTGGACGTCATTGTAGGCCGAGCACTGCTGAGCCCGGAAGTCCTCGGCATCGGGGGGACAGTCCTGGACACAGAGACAGAGACCACCAGAATGTCAACACGGCCAGATGGACCAGCGGCGGGGCTGAGCATATCTTTCGCTGGGGTCCCCTGAGACCAGACCCCCCACCACCACCACCCTCTCTCCCGGGAAGTCACCTCGTTCCGTCTACACATCCAACACTGCAGCCTGGAATCTGCACGGTCAGGGCCTGTGCAGGGGACTGGCCTGTGCAGGGGACCACCCCCTGCATGCCCATCACTCTCCAACCAAAGTGGGTTTTCCCAAGCACCGCACTGTGCCATGTATAACGCACACGTTTTTTCGTTTTGTTTTGGGTTTTTTTGCCCAAATTTTTGAGGGAAAAACAAGGATGAACATATTACAGGAGTAGAACTAATTCCGTAGCTATGTAAACGTTTTTAATTCTTTTATTTATGCGTCCGCTTACTGCTTACGCTTTAGCAAGCAATAATGATATCTGTGTGCAAAATTATACCCTGGAATAGGAGAATCGGTTTGGTTTCTAAATAGAAATAAATAGAAAATTGAATTAAATAATTGAAATGATAGATTTTCTTCCCCCCTAAAAGTTTGGGCCAAAAATGTAGGAGCGCATTGTACACGGCAAAATACAGTAATGAAAGCGCCCACTGTGCCCATGCCATGTTTTATCCATCTTGCAGATGCATTTTCCTACACGTGGTGCAAGCCCTCTCTTTCTGAAACAAGGGGAACGAAATGCTTTTCATTTTTCCTGGCGATTCAAGGTGTTTGGAGGGAATATGAGTTACCACCCGCACCTTCCGGAGCCATTTCCGCGAGACAGATGATTTGGCTGCACTTTGACCCAAACCTGCTGTGCTTTCTGAGACCTTGTGTTCCTTTGTTTTCTTATTGTTGTTGTTTAATTCATCTGACTTTCCTTCCTGGTTCCCAGGCCCCCCAGCTCTCTCTTCCTGGGAACCGAGTGGCTGCCTCCTACTGTCCGGAGGGTGGAAAAACACCGTGTAGCATTTTCTCACTCCAATAAGAGTACAAGTCTCCGCAACTCCACGAGATCTTAACTTAACTAGTTGACCCCGCCCATCCGATACATCCAAAGCAAGAGGCTGATGGCAAAATGTTATGTTACTCTTCAATACCGCGTGAACACTTCCCCATTCATGGGAACTAATTAATTGTATAGGAATTTCCCAATTGAAGACAACAGATACAGAAAGGCAGTATGTTATTTTATATTTTTTCTTATTATAAAAGTCATAAATGTTCACTGTACAAACTTTGAAAAGTAGCATCTAGTCAGAAAAAGAATAAGTAACAAAGATTCTTGTACCTAAATCTCTACAAAAATCTTTGGTTATTTTCCGAGGACAAATCTCTGCAAATAAAATTTCTGAGAAAAAGGGTGTGTTTCAGAGGCTTTTAAAAAACATTGTGAAATAGCCCTCCAGGAAGGTATTATTAATTGTCAGGCTACATAAGTTCCCTTTTTCAAGTCCTCTTCTCAGTTTGGATATCATAATTTTCTAAAAATTTTTCCAATCATTAAATATTAAATAGAATTATATTGTTTTAATTCACATTTTCTTTTAACTGTGTAGATTCAATGTGTTTTCATGTATATTTGCTTATTGTATTAATTCTTCAAAAATGTCTTCTTTTCTGTCTTTCATTTATCTATTGGAATGTTTGTCTCCTTAATATTTTTAACAGATAAAACTATTCAATTTCACAGTGAAGTCATCGGCTCTCTGTCACTTGTATTGGAAATATTTTCCCCATTTTGCTTGTCGTGCTTTGTGAAGTCAAGAAGTCTTCAATTTTTATGTAGTCAGCTCTATTAATATTTCCTCCTAAAATTTCTTTCCTAATTAATGAGCTCAGAAATGCCTTCCCACTACCCTAAGAATAGATAAATACTTAAATGTATTTTTCTTGTTCCTTTACAGGTGAACAATGATATATTTTAATTTACTCTTCAATTACACTTGACACACAATATCCTGTGAGTTTCAGGGGTGTGCAGCGTACCGATCAGACATTTCTACTCCTTCCAAAGTGACCACACGCAGTCTAGGGCCTGTCTGGCACTGCATTAGTTATCACAACATTTTTACTATATTCCCTAACAGCAATTATATTGAACTCTTTGTTACATCTGAAATTTATTTTGATACACAGCATAAGGCAGGAATTTCATTTTATTTTTCCCACAAGTAATTATTCATAAATTATCAGCCAGAATTTTAAATTTCAATTTTTTCTATTTCTTCCTTTTTCACTACTTGACTTTTATATTTTATTGTGTTTATGCCTTTATAAATGGGCTCAAATCCTTTTCTGGCAGTCGGTAGGGACTAAATAGAACATACTAAATCAACTTTCTTCTGGGATTAATTACATGAGTTTGCTGTGAATCACCCTGAGATCCTGTTGTTCTTGCTTCAACGAGGCCACCCCTTCCCCTTGGGTGACGAAAGGACACTAAACTTTTGGTGGTGAGCACTCTGTAATGTGTATAGACGCCGAATTCTAATGCCGTAAACCTGAAACTTGTGTAATGTTATAAACTGATGTCGCCTCAATGAAAAAAAATTAAGCGTAAAGTCCAGCCGTGGCTGGGAAGCTCAGCGGGTTAGAGCATCACCCTGACACACTCAGGCTGTAGGGTCGATCTCCAGTCAGGGCACATATAAGAATCAACCAGTGAATTCATCCATAAGTAGAACAACAAATTGACATTTCTCTCTCTCTCTCTCTGTCCCTCTTTTGTCTGTCTAAGATCAATAAATAAAAAATTTAAAGATTAAAAAAAAAGAATAGATCTTTTTTAAAAATATTTATTTATTTTTTGAGAGAGGGGAAGGGAAGGAGAAAGAGTGGGAGAGAAATATCAATGTATGGTTGCCTCTCATTTGTCCCCTGCTGGGAACTGGCCTGCAACCCAGGCATGTGGCCTGACTGGGAATCGAACCGCGATACTGTGGTTCACAGGCCCGCACTCAATCCACTGAGCTACACCAGCCAGGGCAAAGAATAGATCTTATACACCATTCCTCCTGCGTGATTTTCTTCAGTCGCCAGCATCCTTCAGCTGCATTCATTTCGTAGTGGGCAGGCCTGTGTTTGGGAGCAGGGGAGACCAGTGCACACGTCTGCACTGTGACTTTTGGAAATTCCTCCTCTGTGGCCTTTGAAAATCAATTGCACCTCCCTCAGCCCCAGTCCCCTCATTTACAAAAGAGAAATCACCACACCTCATGAGCCTCCCAGGGCCAGGTGATGCTGTACGCAAAACACTCTGAATGCTGAAGGCATTTACAGGCCCTACGTATTATTTCTATGAATTCAGAAATTATTTTTTAACTGGAGATTTCTTTTCTTAAATATTTTATTTATTTAATTTTAGAGGAAGGGGAAGGGAGAAGGAAAGAGAGGAAGAAAAACATCAATGAGTGGTTGCCTCTCCTGCACCCCCTGCTGGGGACCTGGCCTACAACCCAGGCATGTGCCTGGACTGGGAATCGAACTGGCAACTCTTTGCCTTGCAGTCCGGTGCTCAATCCACCGAACCGTACCAGCCAGGGCTGGAAATTATTAAATACTTACCAAATTAGATCATAAATGTGAAACGGCCTAAAAAGGTAGTATAAAGTGGAAGGTAGGAAACATACCAAACCTGCTGTCGATTAAACAAATATTCAAAATTTCCACAAAGGGTACCAAGAGACCATTAGCTTTACAGTACACATTACAATGTTATAACTTCACAACACGAATATACTAGATTATATATTTTTATTGCAGAACTTACGTGATTGCTGCATGTCCTGTATCGAATATTCTGCCCTTCACAATTCCTACAGGAAAAAAAAAATAAAGGAAAACAATGATTTCATTAAAGTGGCAAGCAGAAGGAAAAAAAAGGCACTGGTAAAACTTTTATGGGCACACATTACCTCTCAGAAATTCAAAGCTTAAATTCTAAGAAATAACTTTCAGGCAGCAGGAGGCTACAAAGCCACAGAGCAGAGCAACTTTAGAGAGTGAATTCTTTTTTTAAAATTATATTATATTGTTTACACTATTACAGTTGTCCCAATGCTCCCCTCCTTGGCCCCCACTTCACCCAGCACCCCCCTTCCCTCAGGTGGTCCCCACACCACTATCTGGGCCCATGGGTCACGCATCTGTGCCCTTTGGCTGCTCTGCCTTCTCTCTTCCAGGGCCCCTGTTAGATCCTGCGATTATTTACATGCAGTTCTCACCTCGGGGTCCACACAACCACTGGCACTAATGGATAGTGTATGTGTGTGTCTTTATTTTTCTATGAAAAAGAAGGGAAAAGCTACCAGCAGAGGACAATTCCTCTTCCTCCCTCACTGCAGAAACTAACCCAAGTTGGCTGGGGACTCCCGGGGACTTCCCTCATCAGTACGACTGCCTGTCATTTTACAATAGGACTTTTTCATGTCTGAGCCTCTGGCCCTCGGTAAGCTTCATCCTTTTCGGCAGTTGCTTTAAACAGGGTACACGGCGGGCACGTCACTGAACCTGCACATTCCTTAACACCTGTAGCCAGGTTTCACTGGCCTTTGACATGAAGACCAGAGACGGGATCTGATTTTCATTATTTTGTACATGTGTTTCCCTTTTATGCCTGAACGTGTACAGGGTTGTTTTTGGTTGTTGCTGTTGTTGTTGTATATGTGTTTTAGCATTTGAAGTAAAAGGTGTACTGTATGCACTTGTGTTTCTTTCCATCGATTTCGACGGAAAACCGTGAGCCCTGTTGACTGGGGCACTCCAGGTTTTCATTTGTGGTCCCGCAAATGACTCTCAAGGTGATGATTTTGATCACAGCTCTTGTTCCAAAAACGCTGGTGGCTTCTGAGTTAGAGTTCCCTCCCTCGGCCCCCAGATCCCTGGTCCTCCCTTAGGTACGTGTCATTGTCCTGACGTCCTCTCCCAGGAAACCTCCCACCAGCAGAACCCTCCCCGTGACTGCTTTTCCTCTCCCGTGGCAGGTATTTTGTGTTTTACTGTCTGAGACACTCTTTGCCTTCCTCAGCCACACCCTTCTCCCTTTCCATCTCACGCCGTCCCCGTCTTACTTTCTGTCCCTGCTTCAACACATCCCAGGCCCCCTCCCATCTTCTGTTTAGAAGACATGTGGGAGGAAGAAGTTTCACAGTGGGAAGGACAGCATGGCAGCTCCCTCTGAAAGAGCGACCCCAGGACTTCCCGCCAAGATGGAGGCGTAGGTGGAAACAGCACAACCAAGTTTAAAGACAACAAAGTTTTAGTAACAAAAACACAACCAAAACACAGAAAATTAAACTGTACGTAAGTCCAACAATAACAAACCGTTCAGCCAGACCGGTTAGAGGGGCGGAGCCAACGGCCGGCGGAGCGGAGTCAGGCAGGAAAAATTGGCCAGACCAACCCAGGTGGAGGCAGCAGTTGGCAGATCCCAGGTGTGGGGTGGCAACGGGCGGACCCAGTGAGGACGTAAGGCAGCAGGCTGACCCCGGTCACACATTCACACGCAGATAAACCAGGTGAAGGAGCGAGCAGTGAGACAGACCACGCAGGCCCCAGCAGCTTGTGGGAAGCAGCGGAGGGGACCACTATTGTCCCTCTCTGACCCTGCCCCCACATACAGCATCACAACCCAGTGACCTGGGTGGCCCCGCCCTAGTGAACACCTAAGGCTCCGCCCCCTCATATGTAACAGGTGCGAACAGACCAAAACATTATAGCTCAAGAACAGCTCAAAGCCCCAGAGCCAATAATTCTAAACGACCAGGAAATAGCCAAACTATCAGATGCACAGTTCAAAACTCTGGTCATCAGGATGCTCACAGAACTGGTTGATTTTAGTCACAAATCAGAGGAACAAATGAAGGCTAAACTAATTGAAAAGAAGGGACATGCACAGGAAACCAATAGTGATGGAAAGGAAACTGGGACTCAATTCAAGGGAGTGGACCAGAAGGAAGAAAAAAATGACCAAACAGAAAAGAATAAAGAAACAAGAATTCAAAAAAATGAGGAGAGGCTTAGGAACCTCCAGGATGTCTTTAAACGTTCCAGCATCCAAATTATAAGGGTACTAGAAGGGGAAGAGGAACAGTCACGAGTGGAAACCTTATTTGAACAAATAATAAAGGAGAATTTCCCCAATCTGGCAAAGCAAATAGACTCCCAGGAAATCCAGGAAGCTCAGAGAGTCCCAAAGAAGTTGGACCCAAGAAGAAACACACCAATGCACATCATCATTACATTAGCCAAGATTAAAATGAAGGAGAGAACCCTAGAAGCAGCAAAAGATAAGGGGACAGTCACCTACAAAGGAGTTCCCATCAGACTGTCAGCTGATTTCTCAAAAGAGACCTTACAGGCAAGAAGGGGCTGGAAAGAAGTATTCCAAGTCATGAAATCCAAAGACCTACATCCAAGATTCCTCTATCCAGCAAAGCTTTCATTTAGAATGGAAGGACAGATAAAGTGCTTCTCAGATAAGATCAAATTCAAGGAGTTCATCATCACCAAGCCCTTATTATATGAAATGTTAAAGGGTCTTACCTAAGAAAAAGAAGATAAAAAAGATGAACAGTGAAAGGACAGCAAACTCACAGTTATTAACAACCACACCTAAAACAAAAGCAAACTAAGGGGACAGCTAGATCAGGAGCGGAACCATAGAAATGAAGATCTCAAGGAGGGTTAGCAACAGGGGAGTGGGAGAAGGAGAAGGGGGAAGAAGGTACAGGGACTAAGTAGCATAGATGGTAGATAGAAAATAGATGGGGGGAGGGCAAGAATAGTATGGGAAATATAGAATCTAAAGAACTTGAGACACGTGGTCATAAACTAAAGGGGGGAATGGTGGGGAAGGGGTGTGCAGGGTGGAGGGGAATGAAGGGAGGAATAGAACAACTGTAATGGCATAATCAATAAAATATATTTAACAAAAAAAGTGTGACCCCAGTGCCAGGGCCGGTTCTGAACTGGGACACCAAGTGCCCAATCATGAGCTCCTTCTCAGCACATTCTCCTCACTCACAGTTGAGAACATCTGCTTAGCCCTGGCTGGTGTGGCTCAGTGGATTGAGCACCGACCAGGGTCACTGGTTCAATTCCCAGTCAGGGCACATGCCTGGGTTTCGGGCCAGGTCCCCAGTAGGGGGTACGTGAGAGGCAACCACACCTTCATGTGTCTCTCCCTCTCTTTCTCCCTCCCTTTCCCTCTCTCTAAAAATGAATAAATTAAATCTTTTTTTAAAAAAGAATAGTTTCCTAGATGATCGCAATCAGTTGGCCCAGTCTTAGCCCTCGCCAGCAGCGGGTATTCCCATCTCCGTGACTTGTCACAGGTATACGATCTTAAAAGCTATTACTCTCCATGAGGCTACATCCCATTTTAAACATTCAAACAGGGAGGCCGGCGGGAGAACCGTGTGAGGGCACAGAAGCCTCTCGGTCAAAGGCAAGTGACCGCCCGTCCTGGGAAACAAAGGAGGCCCTTTACTTCCACGACTTACTCCACTCTGCTTTTTCTGGGTGGAGAAAAGGAGAAAATAAATGACAGAAACAGTGAAAGGGCGGTTTTCAGTGCTCTGCCTACCTTGGGCAAGCCCCAGGGGAGGAAGCAGCTAAGAGACTCGGGAAGCGATAGCCAAAAGCTTTTTGTATCTCGATGGCTTATAACCCTAAAAAGCTTCTGATTCTAATTTCAAGGGGGCAGGCCCGTGACAGAGGCACCCTGCAAGGAGACTCGAATCACCCCAAACACGGGAACACAAACACTATTGGAACTTGCAAACAGTGTGGCCGTTCCTTAAAAAGCATCTGAGAACTTCAGAAGTGATTTTTCAGCCGCACGCTTAGCAATCGCTTCATTGGAGCTATTTACGTGAAAAATCAAACTGCTTTTGTAAAGAGAAATCGAAAACTCCAAGAAAAGCACGTATCTGCCGAAGCCAGCTTGCCGGTGCATCTCCACCCTGCCGTGTGGACCGCGGGGCCGTGGGCTACACCCACCACTGTCCATCATGTCCAAATTGTGTGGCAGTAACTTTCAAAGCCTGAAAATCTAACCCCCAAACATATGTTTATCTCCAGCATAAACACCACAATAGCTGAGGCAAAGCAGTATTGAAAGAGATCCCTTTTATTTCGTGAATCCTCCAAATATAAAGTACCAATTTGGACTCGCTCCTTCTTACGACTACTTCTCATGGTGAACCTGCTGTGGACCAGGATGGGGATATAAAGATTTATGGGGCCCTGGCCAGGTGGCTCAGTCGCTTGGAGCATCATCCCACAGACCAAACGGTTGTGAACTTGATTCCCGGTCAGGGCGTTGCGGGTTCGACCCCTAGTCAGGGTGTGTATGGGAGGCAACCAATCGATATTTCTCTTTCTTTTTTTTTTTTTTTTTCAGAGAGAGGGGAAGGGAAAGAAAGAGGGAGAGAAACATCAATGTTCTTCTCTTCCCCCACCAACCCAGCGAGAATCCCACAGGTCCACACTCAATCCACTGAGCCACACCAGCCAGTGCGATATTTCTCTTTCTTGCTCTCTCTTTGAAATCAGTGAACATTTCCTCAGATAAGGATAAAAAAAAAAAAAAAAGATGCATTCTTTCAAGTCCCTCAACGAGTCAGTAGTAAGATTTTCTTAACCCAACCACCTGGCTGGTGCTTCAAACACTCCACTCCGCCTTGTCCACACCAGCGCTCAGGGGGCCCACTGAGGGGTTCCCCGCCTGGGTCACAGCTCAGTGTGAACACCATTGGCCACTTTCTGAAACCGGCGTAAAATGAAACACCGGCTGTTTGAAAGGGACGCTGGAGTCCTAATTCCTGAGTAGGAACTTGCCAGAGTACTCTGGAAAGAACTCCTTTGGCTCAAAGCAACGGAGCCGCAGAAATATTATTTCCAAGTTTTTAGTTTCACTCTAATTATGACTCGCAAGAGCTAATGGTCATCGAGAGGATATGAAAATGCAAGAATATCACGTCATAATTATGTGGTCTCTGGGCAGTACAACGTCCTTCACACCCTGAAACTGAAGATTTCTGAAGCTGTAAATTTAACAATATATAAAAAACACATGTTGGGGTACATTAAAAACATGCATAAAATTCCCCTGGTGTTTACAGCACTATAATTTCTTACATTCACCCCACGATATATTGACTCAAAAAGTAGTGTCTTAAAAACCGAGAAGCGTGTCTTTTTAAAGAGTAAAAAATGTATGAATTTTTAAAAAATAGTAGTTAACTTAAACGTGGGTTCCCCGTGCTTGGCTCCTGACCAGGCTGTATCAGCTTCCAAAGTTCCGCAGGAGAAAGAGAGAGGTTGGCAGGCAGACAGCTGGCCGTGGAAAAGAACCGACCGAATTCAAACGTGATCAGACTCTGAAATACCTTTGTCCACAGAGAAATAAGTGAGTAGAATAGCCACATTCATCCGCCTCCCCGAACCGCAGATGTAAAGGAGCACACCGATAAAAAAGAGAAAACCCTGAAAGGCACCGAAGGGCTTCCGGAAGCTTCGGGATGGCTTTCTGTTTGGTTTCACATGGAAACACCTCCAAGTTCCTCTGCCAAGAAAAATCAACCGCAAGAACTCAATATTTATGAAGAATTTAAAAAGTCTCCAGGCTGTTCGAGGATTAAAGACCCCATAAGCTTTCTAAGGAAAGTGGGTTTCAAAAAAAAAAAAGAAAGTGGGTTTCTTTCCTAGTTACCTCGAAGTACGCCCTACACTATGTTAAAAGTTCTTAACAGGAGACTGGGTGTCCAAGGTCAGGGGTTGCCTCGAAGGAGGGAAGAGGAATGAGTGAATTATGAACATACCTGCTGCCCTTACTGTAAAACCATCTACTTTAATGTTTAATGCAGAAAAATGGTGGGACTGTCCCCATTTCTTCCCCAAGACAGAGAAGGAGGGAGCAGCCACAGGTCTGTGATCGCCCCACACTTCCTGTGCTGTGAATATCACCACAGAACATACTATTTATTCTCTCACTATTAAAAAAACATTTGTTTTCTAGTCTCAGACATCGTCCAAACGAAATGACAAATGAGAACGGGCAACCGGGGAGATTCTAAGACCTCAGAGCCGGCGTCAGAACACAGGCTAAGATTTGCACAAACACAGACTGCAGAACACAAGGCAAGCCCTTAAAAAAAGTGAAGGAGTTCCGTGAGTGCTACCTCAGGGATGCCGAGGCAAAATGCGGTGGGGTTTTGCTTGTGCTGTTTCTTTTCGTCCTTTCTTAACCGGATAAAAATTGGACGACATTTTGTCATTTCCAAATATGCTTCCTGGACATTTCGCCTGTCTCTGAAACGCGAAAGTCCGAGACTCGGAGGCTGGACCATGCCTCATCCTCCGGCGCCAGCCCACTCTGCCTTCTCCAGCCCAAAAACTTCCTTCCAGCGCCTGGCGGCACACTCTCCTGTCCCACTACCGTCCCCTTCACGGCCGGTTTCAATCCGCACTCGGACCCTCGGCCCAGAAGATTCCTGGATCAGGGCTGCCGAGTCCTGGACACCAGTTTTAATTACTTATAATTTCATCACACTCTTCCTAGACAAATCAGCAGGGCTAACTCCGTGTGCATTTAATTCACTGCCATCAAACTCCTTACCCACATCTGGGTATAAAGAGGGTCAGGAGTTGGGGTCTTAACACAGAGGGAGGGCTTTGAAGGACTCCTTTGAGGCAGCGATGCTGGGGTCCCACCTCTGAGTCCCCCCAACCAACCAAGGGAAGGAGGGGAGCCTCCATCTGCTAGCCCCAAACCAAGAGGAAGATGAGGGTGCGTCTCCTGCAGAGGCTGCTGTCTAGCTCGCCCCCCGAGGAAGGGGAGGGCTGACCCGTGCACTGCAGGGGCCGTGGGAGCAGAGGCGCTGTGGGTCCCAGGATTCAGATTGTTTCATAATCCAGGAGAACTAGACGGACATGGCCCCATGCAAGAAAGCCCACAGGGGCTCATCTCGGGAACATCCAGACAGCCTCAAGGGGTGAGCAGGCACAGGAAGGGAGAAGCTGGGAGCATGCCTAGTACTCCGAGAACTGAAGGAAGAGCCGTATACCCCAGGGAGGGGGCCGAGAAGGACACAACTCAGGGGTATGCAGGTAGCAGACTGCAGGGTTCGGGGTGAGGGGAGGTGGTGTCTCGGAAAGTCTCTGGAAGTGGTCACACTGGAAGGAGCCAGCTTTAAAAAGCTAAAGCACTGGATCCTGCTCCCTGCAGCCAAGACAGAGCTCACTGTCCCGCTTTTCCCCGCCTTTTGCCCAGATGTCCCGTCTGGTGCAGAGGAAGTGGGACTCGCCGAGTGGCTGGTCCCGTCAGAAAAAGAAGACATGAGTTCACGGCCATGCTGAGACCCACCACTCAGCAAAATGACGGCAGTTTTACTACAATGAGAAAGATGCCCCAGGGCAAAAGTCACGGGATTATACAAATTAATAAGAGGATTGATGGACATGTAAGCATTTTGGTTGTAGGACCACAGGATATGTGCCGTCATTTGTATATTCCTGAATAGATTCCTCTAACTCCTTCAAACAAAAACGAGGGCATACTGTTTTTTAAACAACCAACAAGTAAATGACATACAGTCCCCATCCAAGTCCTAGCATTCATATCAGATTAGTCAGACCCCCCATATTCAGAGGCCACAGAGATGCTCAAGTGTGGTGTCCCCCACTCTGATCTCCAAGCGGGAAACCTCTCCTTCAAGTGACCAAGTCAGGACCACTTCAGACCAGTGACCGAATATGCCAGGCCATCCCTCCCTTCAGGTCTCCAGCTCCCATGAGCAGGGAGCCTCTGGTCACTTGTGGTCCCACCCATGCAAAGGGGACACTGCTCTGTGGCTAATATTCAGGCAGCAGATGGCACAGCCATCGTGGGCCCTTGCCAGCTGGTTGTCCGCCCTGGCCCCAACCGACCCCGACCCCCGGACGTCACCTCCCCCCAGAGGAGCAGGGGAGCAGCGCTTACCGCCCAGTCAGGCACCGCCGCAGGGAGTAGGACGCACCCCCGCCGCAGGTCCGCGAGCAGTCACTCCAGTCACCCCAGGCGTCCCAGTTTCCGTCTTTGTCTTCATCCGCCCGGGTGTTTCTCGAGGTCTAGGACACAGAAAACCCAACACAGTACAGACTCGGGTGCAGACACACCCCAACCCCGCCCCCGGCTTTTCCAGAGTCTTACTCTGAGCGGCTCAGAGACCAAAGTCGCCTATGAACCACTTTGCTTTTTGGAATGGCTACATGCACAAGGTCGGTTTACAGGGAAAACCGGGCGTGTGAGGACTTCGCACCTCCCAAAGGCTTTGTCCCAGCGACATCTAAGCACAGTTTTAACTCTGAAATTTCAGCATCCTGAAAGTTAAATACACTGGCTACATATCAGTAATATCTATTATTATTATTATTATTATTTTATAACTTACACAGCGAGGTCCCAGCTTGTACCTGACAAGTTCTCAGCCCTGAAATTCTGTTGTGTCGGCCACCAGACAGGGGGCGAGGGGGGGGCAACTCCAAGCAAACTCTCTTACAGGAGGGTCTGGGGGACCCCCTAAGAGCCCCCATTCCAAGGCTACAAAGTCCATAAAACACCAGGGGTCCAGGAAAACAGGGAAGGGCCCTTTGGGAACGGGGTTTGGTGTGATGTGTTTCCTGGTCTTGCTACCACCGAGGTCCACCAGCATCCCCCAGGGAAAAAGATAAAAGGGTAAATGTCGAGCCCTGGCTGGTGTAGCTCAGTGGATTGAGCGTGGGCCTGCAAACCAGACAATCGCGGTTCGATTCCCAGTCAGGGCACATGCCTGGGTGGCAGACCTGTTCCCTGCAGGCCAGTTCCCAGCAGGAGATGCACAAAAGGCAACCACACATTGATGTTTCTCTCCCTCTCTCCTTCCCTTCCCCTCTGAAGATAAATAAATAAAATCTTTAAAAAAAAAAAAAGGGTAAATGTCTGTGTAGGCAGACGCAGATACAGATGAAGATGTGATACGAAACAATAATTTATTATTCAAAGTCACCAAGCTTTAGGGAGGGACCTAAAGTAGGTGTCAATAACTCGGGGGGGGGGGGGGGCGGGAGGGGCTTGTCCCAGTGGGTAGACCCAATCCTGTAAAATGTTAATTCTCTCCAAATTCATCTATAGATTTATAGCAGCTCCGATCAAAACCCCAAAGGGAATGTTTCTGGAACCAAGCAGTGCGATTGTAAAGTTCATCTGGTGGAGTAAATGCCTCCAGGAGCCAAGAAGAAAACCGGCAGAAGGACGGAAATATGAGGGAAATTGCCTCAATTAAGTGAGGCGGGGCTGGCTCGGCGACAGTGGCCCGAGGTCCTGAAGTTAAAAGCACAGACCCAAGTGTCAGGATGCAGTGTGGGGCCGCACGCAGGGGGAGGGATAATTTTTTTTTTAAGTAACAGATAACATCTTCACAAAAGGCATTAAAATGAAGACCAGGTACATCGGATACTTGATATTAAAAATGCCCAAGCGATAAAACACTAGCAGGGTGACAGATGAGACCCAGGAAAGGCTGTTCGACATGGGTCACCGAACACGGAAACTGGGAAGGAAGAGACCAAGGCCACGAACCCGGGTCCCATAAAAACACACCGAGTGTTTTCGGTCCCTTCACCTGCAGTGAAGGGTGTCGGCAGGTGACTGACCGCCTCTGCGGAGAGAGGACACGGGACCAGGGCGGAAGCTGTTAGGGAAAGAAAGACGCAAAGGGACACCCATGGAATATTTTCTCTCCCTCAGCCCCTTCAAGTACCCAGAGGGATGAGGACAAAATCATTACATTGAGGAAAGCAGGTGATAATGGATGTCCGTCGAATCTGAACTTTTACAGTTTTTGAAATTCCTTTAATTTTTTTTGGAAGGAGTGGGTAAAAGGCAATCATGACAGCACCCCAGAAGCCTCTGTTGTTGTTTAAATTTTTTTAAATTTATTGATTTGAGAGAGAGAAACATCGATTTCTTGTTCCACTTATTGATGCCTTTATGGGTTGATTCTCCTAAGTGCCCTGACCGGGGATTGAACCTGCCACCTTGACGCACTGGGGAGGATGCTCTAACCAGCTGAGCCACCCAGCCGGGACCTATGTTGTTTCTAACACAGGTTCACATGTGTGTGCACAGAGAAAGCAACGAGTGGCGAATGGTTAATCAGAACACTAGTAGGGGCGGCCTCTACCGGGAAGGACTCCGGGTGATTTTAACATCTTCTATGGCTATGGTTGTTTCTCCACATCTCGGAAACGTTTCCTTTAAAGCTAACGCTTTAAGGCTGCACGGGAAAACAAGCCGGCCAACAAGCAGGAACCACCTTCCCATGGCACCCTGCAAAGCCCAGGTCAGGCCGAAGTGAGCGGGCAAGTTCCACGCTGGGGAACTGGACCTTTTTAAGAAGGAAACTCTGCGGCACACAGCTGGTGACCGAACTCGATACGGCACGGGCTTCCTTAGGCCGACTTACCTCATCCAACCGAAAAAAAAATTAAATTAAATTAAGAGACGGATCTGTAAAAAAAGACCTTCAAATGTGAAATGGAATAATGCCCAGAGGCAAGGAGGGGCCTTCCCAATAATTTTCACCCCAGTCTCAGCAGACAGTGTGGGTTTTGTGGATTCTGGCCAAGCCCCCTATTTATAGCCCCGCAAGCAGCCCCGGGGAGAGGCTATATTTCGGGAACAGTTGTGCAAAAAATGAGGATAAGGACCTGGCAACTTTTCAACTCTTGTCATTAGGAATAAGGGCTAATTAAACCCAGACTATTTGCTCTCCCAATTAGGCCACCGTTGGGTTCGATTTTTCCGCAGCAAATGTCACCAGATACACCCGCGTCCTGCCTGTAACATGACATGAAGTTTGAATTCATATGAAGAACACAGCGAGCAGTTTTAATGCACTCGTCTGGACTTTCTAGGTGGGTAAAGTCCACATCAGGGAGGTAAACGTTGAAAATACACACAGCTGCCGTTGATTTTTCATTCTGCCGCTCGACACGCTGATAGGTTTGAATGTGAAAAGCTGAAAAACATCATCATCTACATCTTAAAGTGAAAGTGGAGAGTCCCTGGCAATGTTGCTTGAATTTATTTTTACTCTCCCATCTGTTCAGTTTACGGGGCGAATTGGGTTTCTTTCCATCACTTCTCCACCTTTACTGACCAAAACAAAAAAACAAACAAAAAAGGGTCTTTATTCTAAATAACTAAAATAGGCAATGTTATAAAATGCAGACATTTGGTATTTCTGGTTGGATCGGTGAGATAGTTCCCCCCCCCCAAAAAAATCGGAGAGGAAATGACACTCAGAGGAGCTCTCCCATGTCCCTCCTGTCCTTGGCCTTGAAGATGGTGCATTTCACTTTGGAGCTTCCTCTGCCCCCCTCACGCCCTCTTCTTCCTCCGGTGACTCGAAAATAACAGGCTGGACTCCCACCCAGTTCTCCTCCCTTCCCTTTGATGAAACAGCTTCACAGTAACACAAACACTAAGGGAAAAAAAAACCCTCCCTGTGAGCAGAATATCATGTCGCCGTGTTACTTCTGAACAGTCACCCTGTGGGTTCTCGCCTGCGGCACACACAGCCTGCTCCCTGCACGAACGCCTTCTAGAGCGGGGGACGGCGAGTCTGTCCTCTCCGAAGGAACCTGCTCCAGCTTCCTCAGGCTGCCGGCTGCCTTCAACCGCCCAGCACTCCCATCAACATTTGCTCTCTCTGCACACATGGGAGTTCACATTTTTCATCTTAAAATGTAGTGGCAAGAGGACGGTTCTGTGTCTGAGAATAATGGGCCATACATTCCCTAGGATCCAGGTTTGTCCCTTCCTTCCTTCCTTCCTTCCTTCCTTCCTTCCTTCCTTCCTTCCTTCCTTCCTTCCTTCCTTCCTTCCTTCCTTTCCTCCCTCCCTCCCTCCCTCCCTCCCTCCTGCAGGCACACCATGTACTGTATCTCACTATGAAACCTATATCACACAGGACTTAAAGGCTGTGTGACTTCAGGCACGGTTCCTAAACTGTCCCACACTCCACGATAAAATGGGGGTGTAGCCTTTACCCCAAAGCAGAACAACCATAACCCTGGATCAACTCTCACGGCATCTCCATCGATGGAATGCGTTTTCCAGAATGACAGTCGAGTCGGCCCCCGCCCATTGTCACTTACGGGAGATGAACGCCCATCACCACTGAGCTTCCCCTCCCCCAGGGGAAGGTTGGTTTTGGCCCAGACGGCAGCCTGCTGAGGGCCGCCTGAACCCGGATCCCCACCTGTGAGCTGCTCTGCTGGGCTCTGCCGCTTCTGTGCTCCACCCAGACCCCCGATAAACGGGCTGGACCACGCTCCCTGATCTGACAGAACCCTGCGAATGCCTATTTCTGCTTTTTCAAACTAGGAAGCAGACCCTTGTGCCAAGGAAGCAGCCAACTCATCAGACTTGGAGTCGAGGGATGTAGTTTAACGTTACAATAAAAACATGAAATAATTCCAATCTGTATCCTCCATAGTCAGGAGGGAGAAAGGGCTGTGGGGAGGGGGCGGAGCCTATCGTCTCCAGTGGTGAGTGTCCTGCCGGAAGCCCCTCCCACTTTAGCCCGCCCAGCTTTGAAATCTCGTGACAGCAAAATAAGATGACAGGTATCAGCTCCACACACAGTCTGATGATAACCCTGAAGGGGCAACATGTATGTCAGTCAGTTTGCTGTCCCCAACTGTCCCCTGTCAAACATCTCCATAGCTGTCTTAAGTCATTATTTAAAGTCCATGCTATCACAACTGGATAAAGTAAGGGTTTTTTTAAATATCTATTTGTTTTTAGAGAGAGGGGAAGGAGAAAGAGTGGGAGAGAAACATCAATGCGTGGTGCCTCTCATGTGTCCCCTATTAGGGACCTGGCCTGCAACCTGGGCATGTGCCCTGACTGGGAATCGAACCCGCAACCCCTTGCTTCACAGGCCCATGCTCAATCTGCTGAGCTATACCAGCCAGGGCAGGTAAGGTGTTTTTGGAAGCCTCTGTATGTATACCTATTCCTCGAAACCTGAGTCAGCCGAAATGCTGTCCAAGGTGTCGGGGAGAGGGGCCAGGCAGAACCC